CAGAATGTATATATATATAAACGAAGTAAATTTAAATATTAAGAGAAAAAAAGTAATTCCTCTTAGGATAATATAGTAATATAGTAAAAGACCATTAACAGTTCTATTACTAAGTGAAAAAAAATTACTTTAAATTCAAATTTTACTTTAAATTTGACTTTTAAATTTTTTATTTATTTTTTTTAATAAAATTTGAAAAAAATTCTAATTAAAAAATTTTACAGACATTTATTAATGATAACAGGTGAATTATATCACTCAACCTTTCAAAATTACTATTAACTTTCGAGATGAGTAAAGTAAATCATTGCCACAACAGCTAATTGGTATCCAGGAAATCATTGAAGTTAAAGTTCCACAATTTCGTGACATACAGTATGATGATGTCAATGTGGTCAGCATTGCCCACCGACTGCTTTTACTTCTTAGGCAAACTAGTATCCCACGATCTGAAACTGGGTGGGTTGCAAGCCATCTCCGGGAATCAAACCCCAGTTTTTGCTATGATAGCTTATGATGTTGATTATTTTTCCAGTATGCAGGGAGATGTTTCTTATGATTATTAATTGATTAGGAAAGTTTCGTCTTTTAATTTTCTACACGCTAGTTTTCATAAAGGAACTGAAATATTTATTGCCTGAAAATTAACATCAAATGTGAAAAAAAGGAAACAATTTGAAGTTTCTGTATTGAAGGAAAAGATCAAAATGACAGTCTGTAAGAAAAATTATAAGATCACTGTTGTTTTTGTGATTTTCATTATAAATAATATAATTTTTCCAAAATTGAATTAAGGTGATTAAAATGAATAAAAAAAATACATGCATATAATAAGCACATTTAACTATGGATATCTTGTCAACAAGTTCAAAATTTCCCCCCTGAAATATCTATTTCAAAATTCTAAGACCGGCAATTAAAATGAACTTTTTCACAAAATTAAAAAGAGGCTGTGAAACCATTTTTCTGAATATTTTCATAGAAGTGATTTTTAATTGACTCAATCAAGTTTTTAAGCTAAGTTTTAGGAATTTTGCACCATTCATCCATGATAGCTTCTTCCATGCTCTATATAGAATCATATTGGAGGTTATTTGCATACACTTGTCTAACCAAATAGCTCCATAAGTTTTCTGCAGAATTAAGATCAGGATTACGGCTTGGGCTGCTTAGGAACTCGGTTTTTTCTTTCTTTAACCAATTTTTAGTTGATAGGAATGCATGGTATGATACCATTGATTCCTGAAACTTACAGTCTGTCCTTCCTAGCAAGTAAGATGTTGACCGAAAAGTATAAGGAGTTGCTAAAGTAGCTGTCGATCACAGCTAGAGTCCATTTTTTCAGGTCGCAATTACGATCATACGAAAAGGCTCCACAGACCATATACCAAGCCACCCACTTATCTGCCTATAGAAGAAATCACGAGGTTCTGTTCCCAAAACATGCCAGTGGTGATTATTACTTTCCAGGCCATCCAAATTGAATTTCTTTTCATCGGACAAGAAACATTTTTCGACATAGCAACCCTGGTTATGATCTCCTTTGTCCACTTCAGTCTCTATGATGATCAGTCTTTATGATGATTTAACAGTCTAGGCTTTCTTTTTAATTTTCGAAGAATAACATTTGAATTCGATCTCTAAGTGCGCCAGACAGTTGCGTGGGGGATCGTTTTACTTGTTTGTTGAGTTATTTTGAGACTAGAAAAGTTCTGTCTCGTTGCAAATTTGAAAATGTATCCATTTTCCCAAACTCATAATTTATGCTTCCTGCCAGATCTTCTATATTTTTCATAAGTACTTCTTTTGGTTGAAACATTATGAGCAGAAGTTTTAGAACGTTTAATTAGCTTACATATTTCCCGTTCCGACTTTCCAGAGCCTTTAAGAAACCAAATTTTTCAAACTTCTAGCTCAGACCGTTTCTTTTTTTCGAGAATCATTGCGAATTTTTATATGAAAACAAATGAATTAAATTCCAATTTTCTTTTTATTTATCATTTGTGTTTTCTGCGATTCAAAGTTACCCTTTACATACGATTTGCAAGGAAAAAATGAAGAAGAATTTGAAAACTTAACCAATTTTGTAGAAAGAAATAGATGAAACCCTTAAATTTTAAAGAATCGTTTGCTGAGTGAAACTAACAAAATTTTTTATCCTTCATTTTTTTATTTATTTGATAAAATATAGCTTATTTTAGTTGCTTCACTATTTTAACACTGTTGATTTTATGCAGTGTACCGTAAAAATGAGTAATATTTGCGATAGTCTTATAATTTCGTAGCACACTGTAATATATTACTAGCTGTTAGCTGCCTCTATTGTAATTTTGATTACAGTGCAACTGGTTACTGTAAAAATCACCTCTCCCATTTCTGCTTCAAATTAGGTCATAAATACTTGTGTGCAACAGTGAACAAAGAAAGTATATTTAAATTTTCATACAACAGTATTTCATTTGTAAAAATTTTTTTTACACGTACAGAAACGTTTTATTATGTAAATAAAGAATTCGATTACCGATAAGAAGGCATGTATGAGATCTGCTTTGACCGAGCTCAGAGGCCTGTCTTTGACCAATATCACGTGGGTTTCATCTCTTTCGTTGGTCATCAGGCTTCCAAACCACGATCGCTTCGTTAATCTGTAAAAAGTGAGTCAACATTATTGGGATAAATATACCGATAGCAAATATTGGGGATAAAAAGAGAGAAATTTTTCTTACTCAGGTGAGGAATCTGGAGTCAGACTCACTTCATCTGAAGCGGAAGGCGCTGTGATGCAAAAAAAAGGAGTTATAATTAATAAATACCTTTTATTAGAGTTCTTAGTTACTAGCTAAAATTATAATATGATGTAAAATAACATATTTTATTTTTTTTACAAGAGTCGAGTTTTTGTGAAACTTCCTTTTTTGGAGCTTTTAAAAGAATAAAAAAATACTAATTGTAAAAAATTAATTTACTACTTTCAATGACCAGTTCGACCATGATCTTTAAAAATGAACAGCCTTGAATAACTTTTGATCTAATAATAATTGGATCTTCACGCACTAGAAATCAATCTTAATGGTTCGATAGGGGGACTTCAAATATACTAAATAATTAATTCAGTCGATATTTTAAGTTACGAAATTAGACATAAAAACGTACTTTTTCTGAATAAACTTTCATTTTTTTTGGGTGGTAATTTTGAATTTTTAACCCTCAAAATAAAGGGGATTTTTCCGCAATCTGAGAATTATGGTCTCAACAGTTAGGTCAGGAGAGCGGTACAAAGTTTGGATCCTTTAATGTTAAGTTTACTTTTTGCTTATTTCATCATAGCTCAAAATTTTTGTTAAAGGAATCGAAACATTTTAGAACATAATTAAAAAATTCATTTATTCAACTATAATTCCAAATACATTTTTGAAATCACCTCTGTGAACCATTCAGATTGAGTCCTTGTTCATGAAAATCTGATCATTAGATTAAAAAGTATTCAGAATGATTATTTTTTTTTGCGCATTGAACATAATATTATAGCTGTTTTTAAAGCACAAATACCTTTCGACATAATTGCCATGAAGTTTTAAACATTTGCTACATATCAGTAAACGAGGTTTCTAATCTTCCCTTCGAAAAACTTTGCTTTTAGTGATGTCTTTAAGTCTGAACGTTATTTTGAAGCTCCTTACTGATTTTATTTTATTTTATAACTGGCGTTGAATACTGCCGTGCAGTTGTAAAAACCAATGTAAGTGCATTACGATAGATTCCGAGAAAAGTAGCTTGACAACTTTTTTCTTTTTATTGCTAATGATATGAACGCTAAAATAGAATTTCAGATAACTGACAAAACAAAATTTATTTTTGAAAAAAAAGGCAACATGTTTATCATACAGGGAGGTCAGATCTATATAAATCTCAATTTTGAATTTTTTGCTGCTTACGTTGATTTTTCTTTTGCACTGCAGAATAGCCAACCCATTTCCACCAGCACTCAAGAAATCTAGACTAATATGGCTTCCGTGGTTGAGCATGTTTGTCTAATTCCACTCATTTCCAGTTCTACAATGGATTGATAGCAAGACACGGTTGCCAGTAGATCACCGAAGTCAAGCATTACTGACTGCGGTCAGAGAACGGGTAGTGATCATTTTGTTTAGACTACGAAAGGGCGGAGGGGGCATGGAATCGGTCATCTTTAAACTGTTATACCGTGAAATGTTCGATTTCATGGACAGGACGTCGGACCACCAAAGTGGGGAGGGGGGTCTTCCCCTCTGTAGAAGAGTAAAACTGTGATGGCATGTTTTCGAATTATCTTCAGGGAAGTTTCCCAGACCTTCGCCAACAGCCCATTTGTGCAGCTCCGTTATGACGTAAGTAAAGTATTACTACTACTCTGCTCATTTCCCAACGAATGGAAGCAATTGAACATTCTGAAACTAAACATTCTTTAAAATACAAAGGCTGAATTCTCTGAAGTTCTAGAATTTATTCTCTTGTTTTAAATCTCCAAGACTTTTTTTCTTCTTTATATGTCTTCTTTATATATATGAATTATACATTTCTCCGGATGCCTCCTGCTGACGGGGGCGGGACGGCGTTAAGCTTTGATATGAATTATACATATATAATATATGTTATATATATATTATATATGTATAATTCCTCTACATTCTTTCTCTGAGGGTACTGAAACGGAGATGGATCGTGATTCTGGTTCAGGTCAAAATTACGATTTGCTGATGGATGGTGTGTGAATGTGCCCTTCCTGTAAAACGTTTGTTTATCCAAATTTTTGGACAATTAGACTTACTTTGCATTTTTCTCCTATGGAATCGAGGACTGCCGAGGAAGCTGCTTTTAATTGTATTGAGCCTAGATTTCCAGTATGGTTGGTTCATTCCCGGGGAACCCGGAGGAGTGTTGAGAGGGCTCTCCTCCGGAGTACCCCGGGGAGTGGGTTTTGGAGAAGTGAGTGGAGAGACCGCAGGACTCGTTACATGAAGGCTGCTGGACATGCTGCTCCTTCGGCTCCGTCTGCAATAAACAAAAGAAACAATGTATTTGTATGGGTTGTATATCAATGGATGTATATCAATGTTTTTAAATTTCTTACCCATAGGGATATCTTCTGGGCGTCAGAGGAGAACCTTCACTTAGCATATCGAAACTGTACCTGCAACGGTCACTACAATTTCAATTGGAAGAATTCTTTTGTAAAAATATCCAGCAAATACAAACAAATTTACATTTTTGAATAACTGATAAAATATGTATAGAAAGCAAAAAGGGGAGCACCTTGAATGGCTTCTGATCTAGTGATCCTCGCATACTAGAACTCTTTCTTGATGGTTTAAAGAGGTCAAATAGGCTGACTAATTATTGCGGGCTATAGTTTAAGTTAAGAAACCAGGTACAAAACGTTCTTTCTCTGAATAAACATACCAACTGACCCTAAAATATTTGGTCGGAGGGGGTGGGGTCAGCCGCAATCTGGGAAATATGATTCTAATAATTTTGGCGAGGAGAGCGGTCGAAAGTTTGGAGCCCTTAATGCTAATTATACATTTTACGTACTTCGTCATATTTCAAGCATTTTTTAAGTGAATCAAAAAAACCTTTGCCCATGATTATAAATTCAATGCAAAAAATTTCAAAGATAATTCCATGCAAAAGATTATTTTTAATAAATATTTAATAGTTTTTATTATTTCATTGATCACAGTCAAAACTTTTTTTTAACTGTAAGGTATAGAAGTTTGCACATAATATTTAAGAATATAATTAGATCAGAAATAGTTCAAGGTGCTCCGTTTCTTTTTCCTACAGTACAATGAACTACATAGTATGGATTTACAAAATACATGATGCATCAAATTATTGCAATATATTGAAATATCAAATTATTGTAATATATTGATATATATCTCAACCATTAAGCTAGTTTCATCAAAATAATTTTATTGACTGAGAGCAGGCAATGTATACGAGTTATTCGCAAATTCTTAAAAAGAAAAAAAATCGTTTTAGAGGATGGTAAAGGAGACTAAAAAAAAAAGAAAAAAGGACGAAGAATTTTCTTTCTTTTGTTAAACGCGTGCTTGAAAAAAAAACTGTTTTAAACGCCTTTAGTTAGCTTAGATTACAGCATTTAATACTACATGGAAGTTAGGTCGTCATATGTTTGCTAGAATTTAATAATTCACGCAATCAATAGTGAATCCCCCTCCAATCAGTTTTAGATAGAAATATAGAAATTAGGTTTTTAATTTATTGAAATTTATAACTTCCGGTGCTTTCTTTTAGCATTTTTTCAGTCCAGAAGTACTTTTTCAATAGCCTATATGTATATCATTGAAATATCTTATATTATATATATATAAAAAAAGAAGGAAAAAAAAGAAGACAAAATATTTTCATGGCATTCAAAGGTTGTTAATTGTTAAATTCAATCAATAATATTTCAAGGCTAAACCATGTTGAATAGGTTAACCAACACAGCTTACAGTTTCAAATTTGCAACATAAAAAGTGGTTAATTTTAGTTTTCTTGCACACCAAATTATTTTACACAGAAAGATAAATTGATATAAAAATATTTTGAATCTATTTGCATAATTTTATTTGAATAATATAAAATAAAAAATCAGATAAAAAAAAAGCAGAACGTTAAGCTTTTTTGTGATATAAGTTTTGAGTTAGAGGGTTTAATTAATTATTGTGAAACGATTTAAAGAAAAAAAATGTTCTTTGTGTCTGCCATAAAAATATTAAGATCTGCATTTTACTAAACATAGTAGATAAACTAAACCGATTGAAAGTAAAACGAGATGTAGTGTGAGAATTTTTGCGACCAGTAGATGCTTTTTTGTTTTATTTAAAATATTTAAAAAATGTTAAGAAATTACTGAAAACATTGAACGTAGCTTAAGTGTTCTAGTTCATCTATTTGTAAAACAGTGCCAACAAATATTTTCAAATTTTGTTGGCAGTGTTTTTTACTGCGAAGGGATTTAAGTTTCTTAAAGTGATGTATGTAGGGAACTCACCTAGATCCAGACCTGCCGTTTATCTGGCAGGTATCCACTCTTTTTCTAGGAGGATCTGGGGGAACGGGACAGGGAAGAGATGTGGAGAAAGCTGCCATTCAGGAGAAAGAAATAATTTGTTTACGTAAATAATAGATAAAATAAAATACTAAAAAAACTACAATAAATCATCTACTTTTTTAGTAAATACGAGAGAAAATAAGAGTTCATGGCGATTTATTACCTGATTCGGACCTGTTCCTTATGATGACTTCTGTTTCGTCTTCATAAGCAGGTTTCCGCCGCTTTCTGTCTAACAATAGGAAATAAACTACTTTCTCTGTATTATGCCTGCAAGTATTTAAAAAAAGGCAATATATATGTTACTAGTTACAAATTAGTTATAGATTGTTTCAAACTTACAGTTTTCAAACTTATTCCCACTTTAACAGTTCAAAATTTAAAGAAAACGTAAAAAACATTTTGCAATAAAAACTTGGGCTTAAATTAAGTCTACCTTAATTATGTGACAAGTAAACGATAAAAATATTTTTATGTTTTTTTTTTTAAAAAAAGTGTGTTAAAATTTCGTGAAGGTGTTTTATATAATTGATTTTTTTTTGGACGAATCAAAACCAATGCACTTTTATAATCATTTCTTTCATAAAAAAACCCACTATGAATAATTGTATTATTCCCCAGCGACCGTAACTAAGTCTTTCTAGCCCGTCAGGGGCCTTTTTTGGGAGGCGAAAACGTGAAACTTTTTCACTGACTGGAAACTGTAGCATCTTTGGTGAGAAACAAAACCGAAAGTATCAAAGTCATGCCCTGCAGATTTGATCAGAAATTCTCCTTGATAAAAAACGCTTTCCAAATCAGTTGAATAGATTTCAACCCTATAGTAAATTGACGAGAAAGAAGAAAAATCACATATCCCTGCTCAGATCGAGATTTTTACCACCTACAGTAAGGAATCTCTCATAAGAACTGTGATAAATAGTAATAAAAGAGATGCCTCTGCCTTACTTGACAACTAATTTAAACCAATCAAATGATTTAAGATCAAATGCACCCCTATCTGTTCTGAAAAAATAAAAACAGATGAAAGATGGGAGTTTAAATAAACACTTTCCGTTTTCAAATAAAAAATTGCATTTTTTCTTTCTATTTGATCACGAAAAGCATCAAGGACAGTAAGTGGAGCCGCAATGGCTCAGAGATTAGAGTGCTCTACTCCCAATGAGGTGAACCGGGTTCGAATCCCAGCAAATGGCTGGTCGGTACGAATCCTCATCCAGCTTGCATCGACCACAGTGCTGGCGTAAACTATCCTCAGTGGTAAGCGGTTCGTGGATAAGAGTTGCGGCCAGGTTAATCGCGGGAGGTTTTTGCCGTTTTTCTCTCCATGTAATGCAAATGCGGGTTAGTTCCATCAAAAATGAAGGCAAATTTCACCCAATACTTGATCCAGGAGTTTCCTTGTCTTCTGGATTGGGTTCAAAATTACAAGGCTACGGAGTTGAACATTGGTATTACTGAACTTAAAATTGGGTCATCTGTTCAATGAGGGTTATAAAATGAAATAAAATATAAGATGGAGCACAATGACAAAAAAAAAGATAAATATCATCAATAGATCTTTAAGGATGGGGAAATTTAATTTTAGTTTATTTAGTTAGAAAACGACTTTAAACTCTAGAGTATTCAAAATCTTATCAATTTTGGGATAGATTTTCGGACAATGAGGTAAAACAATCAAATTGTAAAATTTCGAGTCTCTAGATGTGTTGCATTGCGCAATTCATTTTCTATAAATTGAATCAAGAAAGAAATCCATAGTCAATAGCCATATTTTTAAGGTAAGTGAGCTCCTTATTGTGGAAATAACTTGTAACAAGTTTTAGGAGCACAGTAAATACTTGTTCGTAGGACAGCTATATTTAAGTCGAGAACAAAGGATAAAATATGAGGAGAGAGTGAAATCGCAAACAATAAACAGTAGTGAGAAATTCATTGCTATTACGAGTGAGCAGAACGTCTAAGAAAGTTAAGAATTTGTTATTTTCTTGTTCAAATATCAATCGAATGCAAAGATCTATAGAATTCATATTACTGAGAACATAATCAATGTGAAACAATCGTCAACATATCGTCTATAAAGAAGGAACTTAAGTAAATAAATAAGTTTCACTTTCAAATAGGGCATATACAGGCCATTTAAGAAAGGACTGAAAGGATTACACTTAGATAAGTCACCAATCATTCAATAAAATTTACCATAAAATGTGAAAGTAGAGTGCTCTAAACAAATATGAATAAGGTGTGATCCGCCAATTTCAATCTGGCAATCAACAGAGTAGGCAATTTAAGCTTACGCAGGCAATTAAAATTAACAAAGCAGGCTTTTTATTATCTTGTTCAAGCTCGTTCCGCCGCTTTGCACATGCACTGCTTACTTCTGTTATGCCCTTTGGTGTTTAGACATTGCGGATAATTCTTGTTTAGAGAACATGAACCTAAGCTATATATAGTATGTCCATTTCTGTTTTTTTTTAATTTGTGTTTCATCCACGTTTTATTTCAATTTAGTCTACGTAGTAGAAAGTACACCTTATCCTCCTTTTGGAAACCTTGAGGGAATCATGAAGTTTCAAATGCTGAAAAAAATGTTTTTCAGAATATCAAAATGCAAACGAATTATTGCATAATAGCTCCCTCACTGCGCAATCCTGCCCTAATTTTTCGGCATTTTAATGTTTGAATTTTGTTTTCAGCATTTAAAAATTTAAGGTTTACCTGAACTTATTTTATCTTTTCTTTAAATTATTTGTGAAGGTGAAAGGGAATTTGTCTCGCACAGTTTTTCCCACCAGTATAGCGTCCTCTTAAGACGCTTTCAGGAACTAAATAATACGAAGAAACTTTAACAAAAAGATGGCAAGCAGCCGATTCACACCTCAGCAACGCAAAATAAAAATATCCTTAGTGGTTGGTAGACAGATCAAGGGTTAGAGTCCCTTCGTAGTCAGGCTAACCGTGGGAGGTTTTAGTAGTTTTCCTCGAAGCACAACGCACATGTGGGTTGGTTCCATCAAAAATTTTCTCCAAGAAGGTGAATTTCGCCCAATGCATGATCTAGGAGTTCCCTTGTCTTCTGGATTGGGTTCACATTTACATGGTTATGGGGTTGAACATTGAGTAAACTCAAAATTGGGTCAGCAGCTTAATGCTGGTGATTAAATAAACAGGGGACAAATGAATCTTTTATAATAATAGCGTAAGCTAACAAAATACGATACACACATTATACGAATCACACAATTGAGCTACAAAAAAAAGTAAAAAACAAAATGACTTACGCTGTATTTAATAATTCTTGAATTAATTTTTCTCTATCTTTAAAACAACCTAGTGATGTCATACTTGCTAACACGTCTGGATCTAAATCATCAACAGTTGGAATGATATGAGTCTGCAAAAGAAAAAAAAAGCATGAGAAAAATAAATCTAAAATTATTCTACAGAAAATGATCAATTTTTTAAAAAGTAAATGAGCAATAAACTAAAAAAACTGTCATAGACACAAGAATTCTAACACTAATTTTAACATATTACTGTCAAGCATTTTGCTGAAGAAGCAAATGATATTTTTTAAAAGTGCGTATTTAAAGAACACACACTAACTTATTAAGAATAATTTGTATGATCCGTAAGTTTATGTAAGTAAGCTGATAACGTATGTATGCGTATGTTTGATGTATGCGTATAAACTGACGAGTAAAGTAAGCTATATTATAGTTTTCAAAAAAGAAATGTTCATAAACATTGATAATAGTTATCAGAGAAGCATAATTTTTCATTCTAGAATTCGATGATTTTATATTGAATTGAAAAATTCGATGAGAAGTAAATAGTATAATTTTTAATAAATGCATATCATTTTCATAATTTATTCAATGTAGTGTTATTGGAAGAAATATTTTTTAAAAACAATTTGCTCGTCTTTTTTTTTATTGTTGTTTTACTTTAATTTCATCAAACTAGCTAAAATATCAAATAAACTATGTTTGTTGTTTGGATTTTAATATATTGACAGGTTTCAAAAATCATTACTAGTTTAAAGAATTAAAACCCTCGGAAGTTACGTGAGCCTTCTTCGAAAGTATAGGATACCGTTTGAGGATTTGAGAATTGCTGACCTTGATAGTCAGGGTCGAACAAATTTTTCCAATTCCTGCAAACATTTTCTTTCAGTCCACCTTCTCGACTCCGTCTCTAACTCCAAAGCATTGTTTGTTTACTCATGTTTTTTCTATATTGTATTATTTTGACTTTAGAAATTCTGTCTTGTCCTGTTTACATGCGTATTCATCCGATTTCGTTCCATTTCTACTGGTTGAAATTCGCAATTAAAGTGGAAAACTTGGAATTTTAACTCACCTGAACAGCTTCTTTCATTGGAAGCTCTAATTCAAGTTCAGTTTTACTTCCCCTGTGAGGAATATTAAACATTTAATAGTTACAAACACACCAAATAGACACAAAATTTGATATAATTTGTACATTCTCTTTAGGAAAAAGATTCCTAGAAATTTTATATTAAAATGGCATTTTGAATAAAACAGTATCAATGAGTTTTACAAAAATATTAGTTATTTATTATCAAGAATTAACTTAAAGTCTAAAGTTTAAATTGAAAATTCTAGAAAAAAAATCTGAAACATCTCGAAATTCCGTTTTGAAACGACGAATTATTATAAAAAAAGCAAAGCTACACCAAAATAATATTCCTTCAGTATCAATAAGTAAAGCATAAAGGTTAAAGTTCATTTGCAAAACATTATTGAGGCTACAATTTTAAAAAACAGTCTATATTTATGGTTAACTAGATAAATGTTCTATCTTCGCGCGAGAAAAAATGTGAATAATCAAATCGGAATTAATTAACCCTAACATATACCTAATCATATACATAATAGACATATACTTAAAAAATTAAGAAATTTTTTAAAATGATTCCAAATTTTTTATTTATTATTAAAGGTACTAGGCTTGCCTTTTATGGTGAATTTACGTCATTCGATTAGAAGTTCATAGCATCAAAATAAAAATGAACTGTGTTCGGTATCGTTTTGCTTGATGCTACTGCTCCCGCCTAACTAAATTACTTTCATTAAATTAATTTACTCAAAATTTACCACCCATCCCTTTCATCATAAAAAATCTATTTCCATGGTGCCTATAATTGTTATCTCTATGCCTATATTAGTGTATTCAGTACCTATTAAAACAGTATCAATACAACACTGTTTCTTATAGGTAGTCCGCTCAGTCCACTATGAAGGTAAACCAGTTTACGAAAAGAGAAATTTAATAAAAAATCTAGTAATAATAAGAAGGTGGTAGCAAATATACATCTAAAAATTTGTTTGATTTATGAACATTATTGGTTTGTCTAATTTACTTGTCAACCACTACAGATTNTCATAAAAAATCTATTTCCATGGTGCCTATAATTGTTATCTCTATGCCTATATTAGTGTATTCAGTACCTATTAAAACAGTATCAATACAACGCTTCCTATAAATTAAAGCCTCCACACTGTTTCTTATAGGTAATCCGCTCAATCCACTATGAAGGTAAACCAGTTTACGAAAAGAGAAATTTAATAAAAAATCTAGTAATAATAAGAAGGTGGTAGCAAATATGCATCTAAAAATTTGTTTGATTTATGAACATTATTGGTTTGTTTTAATTACTTGTCAACCACTACAGATTCTATTCTCAAATATAGAAGATAAATTTCTCTTAATTACTTTTAAAATAGATTTTGGATTCATGCGCACAACTGGTTCACTTTTTAAACAGTCTGCGCAGACTACTTATAAAATATCGTGTGGAGGCATTCAGATGTAGGAGGTGGTAATTAATACCATTAGCAATTGTTACTAAAATTAGTTACGGATCATTAGAGTCTAAGATGATTTTTTTACGGTTCCCTGAAACGAATAAGTATCTTTTGCCCATCGATTTCGCTTTCTAATGCAAAACTTATTATTTTTTTATTTTAGTTAATATCTTTACAAAAATTAATTAAGCATCATTGACATAACGTTTACTCTATAAGAATAAATAACTTTTCTCCATTAATTTTTCTACTTAATTTAATTACTTTTTTAATTTCAATTATCATTGTTTTTAGATTTTTTAGTTTTACAGAAACATGTTTTATAAGCATCCTCAGTCTTCATTTAGGAGTTTCTTCAGAAATCTTTTTTTAAAATTTTAAATATGTACAGATTGCCTGTAGACATTTTCATAATCATTTTAACAGTTTCAATTTACCTTTTAAATATCTTCAGACATTTAACAGACATTATGATTTAGAGAACGAAAGTGAAATTTATCTTAAAATATTCCTCAGATTAAACAGGACTTAAACTTTAAAAAATAATTTTTATACATCGGAATAGATGCTAATTTTCTCATATTTGACTCCCTCGGACAAAAATACAGTTATAATTAACATGAGTGGAAATATTAAATTTTTTTAAAAATTAGAATGAGATAAAACTGACGAAACTAAAATTATATTACTTTCTACGATATTGAAAAATACATATATGATTTGGCTCGTTAAACATAACAAAAAACAAAGTATAAAAATTAAAGTGAAATGTAATACAGTTTTGAACATATATGTGCATGCATATGTTTCTCAAAAAAATAAATAAATAAAATAAAGAACAAAATAAGTAAACTATGAAAATATGTTGTGCGTTTGCTAATTTCTCAAGCCTTCCAAAAATATTAATTTTGAAGGTATCTGTTCAATTCTACTTTTTAAGTACAAATCTTACAAAACATTTCAAAAATTCTTTATATAGATTTTCTGAAAAAAATAAAATCTTAATGAATTTGATGTACCTTTTAAGCCTAATTTTGCAAAATATTATGGAATTCATCTTGAAGGTTTTAAATCTTAATTTAATTCTGATTAGTTTTCTTAATTATGATTCTAATTTTTGAATTCGTTCGTTTAGGGATCTATAAGATTTTTCCAATAATCTTAAAGATTAAATTGAAATCATCACATTAAATTAAGAAAAATTTTAACATTAATAAATGTGCAATAAAAAAAATAACATTATAAAACCACTTTGTTCCATGCATCTGCGTACTTTAGGAGAAAAGGCAAATCTGTCAGTCATAACGGGGGTTCGAATCCCAGCTGTGACGTCATAATATTTCCTCCATTTCCTTATGACAAAAAGAATCTGTTAAATATCTTTGTTATTTGGCCCACGTAACACTATATTTTAAATCAAAATTAATATCCAGATTATATAATCTTTCTTTTCTGATAATCGTTAAACAGCCGACCCGATTTTGGGTTTACGACTACTAATGTTCAACTCCATAGCCTTGCAATTTTGAACCCAATACAGAAGAGAAGAGAGGACCTGGATCAAGTATTAGGGGAAAATTATCTTCGCGAAGGACTTTTCGCTGAACTAATCCACATAGAAGGGAAAACCACGAAAACCCTCCACGATTAGACTGACGGCAAGGGGACTCTAACCCATGATCCGCCTACCACTGAAGACAATTTACTTTAGCATCGTGGTCAGTGCAAGTCGGATGCGGAATTCGTATCGACCAGCGATTGCTCGGATTTGAACCTGATTAACCTCATAGGAAGGCGAACGCTCTATCCCCTGGGCAATCGTGGCTCCAGGTTATATTTAGAAATTCTTTACTAAGTTGTCTTAAAATTTCTTTCAGACTATATTCCTAATAAATTCTTAGGAACATAGATTTAAGAAGTGGCCGAATATATTGATATTCTCACAATTCATTTTTTAAAAAAAATATTGATATTTTTTTTAGTGAGAATAACTATGAACAAAATAAACACATGGTTTCGGATGTTTAGAAATACCAATTATTTTTTAGTTTACTTGATGTAAGGTAGAAAAATAATTCCATATTAATAAAAAAAAAAAAGGGAAAAACTATTTTCTTTTTGATTGAATGAAATTGTAAGACAGCAAACATCACTGATGTTCCCTTTTAAATATTTGAAAAAAAAAATAACAATTTTCTTTCTCCAGTTTAATTTAACAATCTTTAATAATAAGCCTTTAAGAAAAACTTATTCTCCAAACGTCTCTCCCGAAGGGCCGGGACTGATCTTTCATGCACTGTTCAAATTTAAGGACGCTTACACAAATGATTCTAGAGTTATAAAAAAGACACACACAAACAAATTTTGCCTTTTGTTGTTGTTGTTGTCATAGGCCATTAAGGCAAAGGATATGATTGTTCTTGTTTTTCAGTGTTGCCATCTATGGCCAAGAATTCAACTTCTGCCGCACCCATACGTCACACCGGTTTTATAGGGTGGGTCCATTCATACATTCATTTATTCATCCACAAATCGTTAGTTTGACCGGAATCAGAGAACTATCAATCTCCAATTCAGTATCACCAGAGGTATTGTTTGTTACTGGTACGCGGAGGTCTTTGTGACCCAACAGATTTAACGTGCATCAGTCACCATTTACTACACGAGGAGTCTTCGGCCAATTGGATTCAAACTCACGTTCTCACGAACGGGAGTCCAGCGCCCTGCCGGCCACCAGGCCACCCCGGTCAATTCTTCTTTTTATTGTAGAATATGGAGACTATAGACTCGTTCTTCGTACGAGATATGGTATTTTTCTTGTGAAATTAAGTTACTGTTCATTCGAATTTATTAGTATCTCTGATTTGTGTTCCTCAAACCGCAAGATTCAGGATTAAATCGTTGTATTTGATAATCAGATCATTATATTGTCGTAAAGAGTAAGTTACAGAATGTTGCACAGAAAAAAAGTAACTTCGAATCGTTTTTATGTAAATCTAATTGTTCGAACAAAATTCTTTCAGAATTTTGAATTTTTTCTTTTTTGCACCCCGTTTAGGGAACTTTAAAACATAGAAATTGAAATACTTACGCTATTACCCAAGGATGCCTCGTTACCTCAGCTAACTGCAAAAATAAATAAATCATAAGAATATATTTTGATTATTCGACCAATTTACTGCAAGTATAAAACTACAAAGTAACAAGTTATGGTTTTAAACATATTTTGACAAACGTTAATCTATAAAGATTACTGTTGGTTTAAAAGAATAATTCTTCTACATTACGTCGATCCTAAAGAAAAATTCAAATTACCTCAATTAAAATTGCTAGATAAGAAATATTTTCTAAAAAATAAACTGTACTTAATCTTACAAATTATGTTTACAAAAGTAATAGAAATGTCTATTTTGAAGTAAAAGTTTAAAAGAGAAATCTTTTAAGTACAACGAGATCGAAACAAGATATTTTGAAGATTTTATTGAAACCCTTATGCCATATATAAATATCAAATTTTTGTTAACCATTTTTTTTTCCTAAATCAGTAGTATTTTGAACCTTTAGCTTCGACTTATCAGTCAGAAATTAAACGTATGCTAATTTTAATAGTTCTTGCATTAATGTCAAACAAATTAGAGCAGATTAAGGGAAATACTTTTACATTTTCAATAAAATACTCCTCCTATTAGCAACTCCCGTGTTTGCTTTACATTTTTACATTTTTCAAAAAAGCAACGATCATTTTGTTAATGAAGTATATAAGTACTACATCTTTATGTAGGAGCATTTTGCTTGTATATTAACAGTTACAAATTGAATGATTACCTGGAAAAACTTGAAAGAAAATTAAATTGTAAAAAACGGAATGCAGGACACAATACTAAAAAAATGAAAGAAAAGTGATTTTACATGCTTATAATACCTGACGATGTCTAGTATTATTTTAACAATTCAAATAGGAAATCTCGCTTGAATTTCTCTTATTCTTATGTATTTTTTATAGCTTTAGAAATTTCAATAAAAATATTAAGATTTTAAACGTCTGGAATTATCTAATCTCTAATTATTTTTTCTTTATGTTGCTTTCAACATTAACTCACGACCGAAAACATGAAGTAAATATATCGAGAGAGAGAAATAAAATTTTCTGCAACAATGGATAAATAGTCATTACTTAAAGCAAAAAAGATAGAGAAAATTCACAATGAAAGAGCTTCAAATTTCTATAATTTTCGAACAAATAGGATTTTCGACGAAAACTTAAGTTCAAATACAAATGGCTCTCTTAGCACGTTGACAAACAACTGTGCAGTATCATACCTGCATACCACAGAGTGACCCGCATGGTTTTTTTCTAAATGATTAACAGTTCTCGAAGTAATTACTGAATGAGAAGTTTAATTTTGTTTCATTGTGCTCCCTGAGCATTTTTCTACATATAATTGTAATTTTAAATTAGGAATTGAACATTAAAAAAAATGCAACGCAAATTTGAAATTCGAAACCAGTGACGGTGGAACCGTTTAAGATTTTTTTTATTGTAGATAGGAGACGTAATCAAATCTTTATATTATTTGCAGAAGTAAAAAAAGTGTAACAGTAATATTTGACTTCGAAAATCAGTCAAAAGTCGGCCATGAGTCTTACCGTCATTCTTTTTTCTGGACAGACTTCGATCATTCCCCTAAGAAGATCCTGGCACTCTGGAGGAACAAAATGTGGTATATGGAACACCCCTCTCTTCACCTTCTCTAGGAGCTGCCTTAGGTTGTCGTCATCAAAAGGAAGAGCACCCTGAAAACAACAAATGATGTAACGCAAAATGAAGAGAAAAAATTCAATGGAAAATCATTATTAAGTTAGAATAGTGAACAGTTTCCGAAAATGTTGGAAATTCAAACTATCCAGAAAATTAGACATAGACCCAATGGTTTCTCACAGAAATCGGATTATTATTGGAAGTCAGACTAAAAGTGAGTTGCATTTTTTCTGAAAATCGGATGATTCGAACAGATCATTTTGTCATTGGAATATCTAATAATTTTTTAATGAGAAAAACATTTAAATGATAATTATTTACTTCATATACACTATGTGGTTAAAAGTATCCAAACATCTAATGGTACATATTTGGAAAGTCCTGAGGTACATGTTAATATGATGTTTGTACTCCTTTTTTTCAAACGAATAGAGTCTGCAAACGTCTGAGAGACGAGAAACTTTCCACTAGTTTTAGATTGATGGCCATAGGAATTAACTTCCATGCTTCCATGCTACATATTAATATATTGATTGTACTCTTTTTTTTTTTAATCGAAAAGAGCCTGCATACGTCTGAGAGACGAGAGACTTTTCACTAGTTTTAGAATGATGGCCATAGGAACTAACTTCCATGCTACACATTAATATATTGCTGTACTCATATTTTTTTAATCGAAAAGAGCCTGCATACGTCTGAGAGACGAGAAACTTTCCACTAGTTTTAGATTGATGGCCATAGGAATTAACTTCCATGATTCCGTCACAACTGAAACGAGAAGCTGGCAGTCAGGATGCTCGATTTGACTGTCTGCGTAAAATGCATTAGAATTCGTTCCACAGGTGTTCTAAGAGACTTATGTCAGTGCTCTAAGATGGCTAGTCCAGTTTCTTAACATTGATTTCGTAAAAACATGAATGCCCAAGGTTCGATGTGTGAACCACCAGGAACTTAGGGGGTCAGACCAAACAATGGAAGACACCCTCGCTCCACGATTATTTAGTGTTTAGATACTTTTGGTCAGGTAGTGTATCTCGTAGAGCCTGCATTTGATAAGAATTCGATTTTTCTTAGAATTCGAAGAACACTTTGTATTTCTTTAAAACAGGATGATTCGAGAATAACAAGGGTTCTAACTTACACCTCTTTTATGATAAACACATACGATCAATCTGATTTTTGCGGAACCGAGATTGCTGGTTATCACAAATTTCTGTGTGATGGATTATTTTGAGTTAAATATTATCCACGATAAAAAAAAAAGTAATATGAAACTAACTTGAACTCGAATGAAATCTCTAATGACCAATTCTAGTTCCTCTGAAATTTTGAACCAGATCTTAACGAGCACAATTTCAGCTTTCCCGGGTAAAATAATAATACTAGAATTTAAAAACAAGAATGGGGTTCATTTTTATAGAAGAAGTGGCAATTAAAAATTTTTTTTTAAATTGCCATTTTTATATTCAGTCGCCGTGTGGTCGGTGGAGGCTGTTAATTTTATGCATACAATGGTAACGTGCATATTACACTTTAGCTTAACGTAAGCATAATCAATACTATTTCTAAGAAAAATAATAAATGCAAAACAAAGAAAATGAGATCATTAAACCTATGTTAACTAACGAAAAAGGTTTTGATATTTTAGTATACTTACAACTAATAGAGCATATAAAATAACACCACAACTCCACACATCTGCTCGCCTTCCATCATACTTTTCACCCTGATAATAAACAATGGATTTTAATTAACAATTTTACAAAAATTACCACCTAAAGCAATAAGAAATTATATAAAGCGTAAAGTGCGGCTTTGAGGAGAACTCCTTCAGACTGAAAGTATGGGGCTGTCTGCTGCTATGGTAACAAGCGAGAGCATATTTCTAATGGGGGTGAAATGGAACCATAAACTTTCCTCGTCATCATAGTACCCGCCACGATGCCAGACAGGTGTCTGGAGGAGTTCTCCTGAAAGCCGCACTATATATATAGATGCTAGTTTTTGATCTGTATGCTTCTGTTTATAATGGGTCCCGTAGTGGACATATCGTAAATACACGGTTCCCAATAGAACACCGAAGTCAAAGTCAAGCACTGTCTGCGGTCCATAAGAGGGTGAGGGACCCCTTTGATTAACATGCGTAGGAACCGAGGATGTGCGGTGTGGGTCCTCGTTAAACTGTTCTAACGCAAATTTCTCGACTTCGCATGCAGGTTGTCGGGCTGTCCCTTCTGCAGAGGATCAAAATTGTGATGGCATGGTTTTGGATCATCGTCAGTGATGTTTACCAGATCATCGCCGATAGCCCTTTGGGCAGCTGTAGTGTGACGTAAATAAAGTACCTACTTGCCTTTTATAATGGTTTCCCAAATAAGTACTTATTTATGATGGCATCAGAACTATATTAGCAAAAGAAGCTCCAACTTCGTTATAAGTAAGAGTCATAGTTATAAATGAAGTTGAGAATGGAGAAAAATTAGAAATACTGAATGAAGCTCACAGAAGACTGTATGTTACCAGTTTGGATGTAAGTATTTAATGTAAAGTCGTAATAAGATGAATGTTTCTAAAACAAAACAACGCACAATTTTTGTNCTTTGAAACTAACCGTAGTAAATCGAAAAATGAGATATTTGGGTCATTTTGTGTAAAAAAAAAATCACCCTTTCAGAGAAACAAAGTGTTATCTTCATAGTTCCATAAAAATAATTTAGAGAACAAATAAATCGTTATCGCATTGGCGCGATTAGCATTAGCGTGGAAAGTTAGAAATTGCTCTCCTGAAAAACTTGTTTTTTTGAGTTACCACGGTTTAGCTTTAAAGCGACGATATGAGCAATTCTACAAATAAACGCCAATTTTTATACTGAAATATAATATTATAGTATGAAATCTCTATAAATACATTTTAGAGAGTATAATAATATTATATTTATGTAAAAATCGTTTTATCTAAATAAATGTCTCAGATTTATCTGAGTATGTCAGAAAAAGTATGTCACATTTAAAGTATGTCACAAAGAAAAAATTTCATGTTCACGATTTTTTCCTGCCTTTTTAGGGTGTAAAAGAGAGGAAAATTCATGTAGAAATAGTGTGCTCCCCAAAAATTTTTTTAATTTTCTTTGGCCGCCTAATTGGCGTTTACTTGTAGAATTGCTCATATATCGTAGAATGTTTTCTGCTTATGGAGAACATTATCTAGTACTGAGATGATAAACTTGTGATACGGTTGCCATTAGGTAGCACAGGACATGTATTTCGGTGATGACAAAGTAGTTCAAATTAAATAAAAAAAATAAAGCAATAAGCTGCAATACAATCGGAAGTGGATTCAGAAACAAGAACGATTTCGGGTACCATGGTGATATTTTCTTAGGCGCGGGATCAGTTGTCGGTGTGTGTGTGTGGTGATATTTTCTAAAACGCGAGGGTGACTAGTGTCCCCTCAACCTTGGAAGTCCATGTCGTGAGAGAGACTGACTTTTTCGTGGGAAATATGTGATTGCGATGAGGTGCAAACAAAGAGCTCAAGCTAAACTATAAATTATGAAAAAATTAGAAATAAAGTAAATTTCTGGAATGTTACGAGTTGGTGATGAATTCTATGCAATCGAAAGTAAGAAATCGCCTTATTTCAATTTAAGGCAAGTTAATAAAAAACTGAAATATAAATACCCAATGTAATTCAGTGGTTTGAAATAAAAGCAGATACTCACAGATCAGTTTTTTAAAAGAAACACAACAGATGACTGACTGCACACCTTGAAATAAGAAACCATTTTTCACAATAGTCAGTGCATACATACATATTCCTCTTTATTCCGAATATTGGAGTGCAGGGCTTCTATCAAAGTTCTCCATCTCAATCTATTTGTGACCAAATATTTTGCCTCTCTCCATGTATTTCCTATTTTCAATTTATTAATAGTCGTCCTTCACGAAGCATTGTTAGGTCTTCCTCTTTTTTTATTTTCTTGAGGGTTCTCATCACAAACTTATTCTACTTTTACTGCTAAACTAATTAGAAAAGATTTTGGACGTGACTGTGAACAAATGGTGTTCATGTGAAGGAAGCATATGAATAGCGATTCTGTCCAAAAGATTGAGCAAACAAACACCACGATCTCTCCTGAATAAATTGCAGTTGTTGATCAAATAATAATTAAAAGAAATACAAGAGATACGACTCATAGAATCTGTGCAGTACTTAGTTAGACATGAGAAAAAGAATGGTGTCGTCATCTACTGCAACAGTTAAACTTTCTAAGTTGACCAACTCTGTGAAACTACAGATATTTATCCATTACAGCTTTTAATGGCATGTATTTTATAAGCTATAATTATGAGAGCCTAAGAAAATAGTTTTGAGAAATTTTGATCATTGAATGGATGAAAAATCATTTTACTTACCATGTACACTTCAGAAAAAAAATTATCTGTCCCAATTATTGAATTCATATGTATTGTAATTGAAGATTTTTCTTTCAATTAAATAAAACATAATCTTTAAAGCGTAAAGAATGCACATAATGTCTTAAAAATTTCATTTGCTTCAAAAACTATGACGATGGTAGTAAAAATTGATATGTATCGAGCACTCAAAACTTGATGTTTATTCTTAAATTCGACAGAATGAAGAAACAAAATAGATTTGCCTAACAAAAATGAAAAATGAGGCGAAACAAATCTGGAAAAACCACGGTGTCCAAAAGTGAAAAAATATGTGAAAACAAAACTGGGAAAATCTCATGGGTTGAGAGAGGCAAATTAGAGCAAAATGCATTTCCACGCTTTATAGAGGTGGTAAAAAACTTATGTGGTTAACAGGGAGCCGGTATTTATATGAATTAAACAAGATTCCAGGGCATCAAGATGAGATGATATGACACGGGGTGGAAGAAGAATTTTTGGCGCTGTGAACCTGTGAATGATGTGAAACTTGTGAAATTGACAACACTTTTAAATTGACCACCTGTCTAAATTGACCATTATTATTGAAATATGAAATTTTCCTACATAATAAAAGGGGGTAAAACTTCTTTAATTTGACCACTGTCTATCTAAAATTCCAAATTCGGATTCTGGCTCGGAAGGTCTCGGACCATTAAAACCCGACATCGTCACTAATGTACCTTATTCCTTATATCGAAATTTTTCAATATTTTGAGGAGTGTTTGTGATACTTACCCTTATGACTTCTGGGCATGCGTAGTGAGGAGAACCGCAGGAGGTTTCAAGCATTGAGCCATCCATCTGTAATGAAGCCATTCCAAAATCTGCTATCCGAATGTTATTCTTCTCGTCCAAAAGAAGATTCTCTGGTTTCAAATCCCGATGGCTGCAAATAATAATAACAAAACACTGGAAAAACAAAGGTATCATTGCTATTTTTTATTATCATATACTGAAAAAAAGGTTTACGAAGTTTTTGTTTGAACAAAAGTCGTTTGCTGTGAAAATTCCATCGTTTGCTGTGTATATGTTACCGTTAAAGTGCATAACTCCGTTATTTCATAAAATAACTAGATATTTCATGAAATAACTAGACAAGATAGTTAAAATACAGTATACTCTAGATATCTCGAACTTCGATATCTCGAAAACCTTGATATGTTTAAAAAATATTTTTTTCCCTTTCATTATATCTTCTTTTAATGTTAATTTGAATTCCTATGCCGAAGAGTTTCTTCTCAAAACCTTGTCATGTCGAATTTTTTTCGAAATAAAAAATGAATTTTTTCGGAAAATTTGGAATGTAAATTTATTGTAAACTAATTTTTTTCTATTTAATGCATTATTATTTAGGTCTTACCTTTAAAAATAAAACCTTTATTTTTAAGTTTGTATATTAAGTATTGTTGTCTTTTGACTTATAGTCAACTATCAATATTATTAGAAGGTTATTCTCATGTATCATGACTTTAATTTTTGGAGTAATATTTTAGAATGTATTTTTCTACTTTTTAGAACATATTTAGTTCCGAACTTGTTATCTCGAAGATTCACTATTTAGAATTTTTTTTAGCTTTCCTTCAAGTTTAGATATCGAGAGTTCATATGTATATAATAGATGAAAAATTTCATACTTTGCCTAGTTGTTCTATGAAATAACTAATGACAGACCTTTAAAGTGAAAAATAAACAATTTCGAAGTTATTTTACAAATCAATTGATCATAAATAGCTAAAATCTCTCGACAAATATATTTTATCCCTATTGTGAATGATTAATTTATAAATAATAAGGAAAAGCAGATCATATAATTTATTATAGCTCATATGCTGATATTAATAACTGGGTATAAAAAGCAACGGAATTATGTGTACACGCACGCGTCATTGCAAAGCAGCTAAACAATTCAAAACTAACTAAAAGCAGCTAGAACAGGTTCAAAGAAATTTCAAGTGCCGTATTTTATACTTTAGCGATAAAGTAATTGTTATTCAATGGAATACTTAGTTAAATCGCTGAATTTAATAATTTTATATACTTTAACTGACTTGCCTAGTTATTTCGTGAAATACTTATTAGTTATTCTATGAAATAATGGATTTCACACTTTGCCTATAACATATATAATTCGCAAAAAATTTTATAACTGAAAATGCTCGAAATACACTGACTGAGCAAAACTCATGGGATACCCACCTAATATCTGGTCGGGCCCTGGGTAGTGCAGCGATACGGCGATAAATGAGTCTGCAATGCTCTAGAACACGTCCGGATGTAGTTGGCACCACACATCCTGCAGAGCGGCAGCCAATTGTGGCCTGTTCGTGGGTTGAGGATTCAATGCCCTGAGCCTGACGTCGAGGGCATCCCAGATACGTTCAATGGGGTTCATATCAGGACTTCGAGGTGGCCAATTCAGTCGTTGGATCTCACCTGCGTGCTCGTCGAACCAGGCACGGACGATATTGCGCGATGTGGGGCTGTGTTGTCATCTTGATACACAGCAATGTCACCAGGGTGTTGAAACATGACAAAAGGGCGGAGATGGTCTCCAAACAGCTGAAGATACCACTGACCAGTCAATGTGACATCCAGAACGACCAGGGAGCCCAATCCATGCCACAAAAATGCACACCACACCATGACTGATAGGCCACCGGCCTGGACTGTGCCCACTTGGCATGCTGGATCCATCGCTTCGTGCGGTGGGCGCCACATACGGTGCCTCCCATCAGCATGGAGCAGTTGATAACGTGATTCGTCAGACCAGATCACGTTACGCCACTGTTGCAGTGTCCATCCGTAGTGATTGGTGGCAAATGCAAGCCGAATTGTCCGATCACGCTAGGTTAGTAGTGGCACACGTGTGGGGCGACGGCTCTCATACCCGAGAACACGCATGTTCCGACGGATTATCCACTGGGACACGTCTCTATCATGGCCAGTGTTGATTTCAGCCGTGATTTGTTGCACATTTGCTCTCCTATCTCGAGTTACCACTCATTTCACGTTTCGCCTGTCTCGGTCATTTAGGGTCTGTGGACGCCCGGTGTGGCGTCTGTTGCGAACTGTGACACCCTCATTCACCCATTTTCGGTAAGCTCTCGACACGGTTGACCTTGGGAAGCCGAATTCCTGAGCCACATCCGAAATGGAATGTACCATGCGTCGTCCACCCACAACCATGCCGCTTTCGAATGACGTCAACTCACGACGACGTTGCATTTTACCTGATCACTCACACAGCCACTTCAAGCAATGTCTAACACACAACTGAGACCGTCGCGGAGGCCACCAGGTGGCGTTGGTCAGACGTGCTGTCCATCCACAAATCAGAGCCCTGCTATCCCATGAGTTTTGCTCAGTCAGTGTATATTAATTTGAGAAAGATAACGCTTAACTTTAAGGATGAATTCTCTTCAATTTCTGGGCGTGGGCTCCGGACAAATCAGAATATAAATGCAGTAAAGAACATGTGTGGTATTTTATCTCTCAAAATGCATAGAAATTCCAATTTTTATTATCGTATATACTATAAAATGTATATTGATCACAAGGAAATTAAATAATTCGGCAATTTGTAAAAAGCCCTCGTCATTTTCCAATGAGCCAGACTAGTTGAAAAAGTATTTTATGATTAACCTCACTTTCTTAGGCCTGCAGCAGAGAGCCCGGATACCTTAAGGCTAATTAGAAAAGATATCATTCATTGCTCAATTAACTCTATTAATAAATCAGAAACTGCAATAATCTTATAAAAGAATCAGGAACTGCGACGGGCAAACTGCCTACAATATTACAATATGTAGCAATTTGCAATAAGCCCGTAATAATGAAGGTTTATTATATAAATAGCCTTATTAAAGGTTTATTCCAATATGACTACTCAGAGCCGTGATGGCTCAGAGGATAAAGCGTTCGCCTTCCAATGAGGTGAACCGGGTTCGAATCCCTGCGATGGCTGGTCGATACGAATTCTGCATCCGGTTTGCACCGACCACAGTGCTGACGGGAAATATCCTCAGTGGTAGACGGATCAGGCTAACCGCGGGAGGTTCTCGTGGTTTTCCTCACCATGTAATGCAAATGCGGGTTGGTTCCATCAAATAGTCCTCCACGAAGGCAAATCTTTTCCAATACTTGATCCAGGAGTTCCCATGTCGTTTGGATTGGGTTCAAAATTACAAGGCTATGGAGTTGAACATAAGTAGTCGTAAACCCAAAAAAACTGAATCGGCAGTTCAACGACGGTTATAAAATAAGATTATTCTAACTCAGACTGTGAAATTATTCGAAAATATTTTATTAGCAAAGAGGTATATCAGCTGATTGTAATAAATATATCTATAGATATATCAGGAGAGATAAGAGGCAGATTAAAATATACTGAAGATTATAACCTGGTGCACTGCATAGTACTGAAGACATTTGAAATGAGCCGAATTTTTCAGTTATTCTAATGACATGTATAAGCTGACATAGTTTTATGGCAATCACTGTAAAACTGGCAGCATAGAAAAAAGTTTAATTTTTTTTTATTAATTTTGTATAATATAAAGATAAATGTTAACATACTTGTATAAGGGGAGCAACGAGGGCGATGAACCAAAAAGTTGGAAATAGCACACGGTAACTAATGACATCAGGTTTTTCTACTCTATTTAAAATCAATAAGGCAGTACCTAAACTTTGAAAGAACAATAGGAATTAAAGGATTATAATTGTCAATAGTAAGAGATTGTTACATGAGCAAAACTTAACTATTAGTGCCTAGAATCGTTTTATGACTGGTATTATATAAAACTACATTAAGTTATTACTTTGAATAGGTTCGTATATGCGGATTCAACTTTCAGACATTCCAAAAATCGACAAATCGGTAAAAAATAATTTAATTGCAATTAATTGACAAAAATGATTCCTTTAGTGAAATAGCTGTTAAAAATATTTTTTTCAACTAATTTGACTAACATTTAATAAAACATATTTATTATTCAAAAACAAGATTTTTTTTATTAAAAATATAATGGACACCTTACGTTTCAAACTTTAAAGTTCCTAAGATTAAGAAAACTAATTAGAACATGAGTAGAAAGCAATTATACCACATCAAATTAAAATTAAAATCTGACAATACTGAAATAACAAAAAGTTATAAAGTTAAATGGTTCTAGGAACTATGTCTGACGAAAAATGGAGCAAACAAAAGAACACCAGTGCTCTTTGTGAAACCACTTATATCTGAATATGATAAACTCTCTGAAAAAGTTGAAGATCTTAAGGGTTCCTTGGGGTATTCATCCACTTTTCCTTCGAGGTTAATATCTTCCTTACCTGTACTATGCATGATTCTTTATCGCCTTACAAGATCATCGCCAACAAAAGCAATTATTTTTACTTTTTGAAATGCCGGATGCTATTAAAGCAAAGTATGAAATAATCGTCCTGATGAGGTTATTATGTAAATGATATGCATGTTACTGTGAATGACCGAAATCGGTGGTTGTTGACTTTCACCGGTTAATGTTGACAATCAAATTAGTCGCTTTGGTGAATGTCCGAAATATTTATTACATCCGATTTGATATCAATTTATTCGTGGATATAATTACATTTATTCGATATTTTAACACTTACTGACGATAGATTAGAACAAACATCAGTGTTTGGAGCATCGGGGCAAATATATACCGGGCAATGGCACTTGACTTTAAAAAAACATCAGTGTAGGGTATACTGGTCAAATGTATACCGGGCAATTGCACTTGTTTTTAAAAAAACATCAGTGTAGGGTATACCGGGCAAATGTATACCGGGCAGTGGCACTTAACCAGACCTAGTATGACTAGACCTTCGGTAAATGTCCAGAATATATACTAGGTCTAGTGCCACTTTTGCTATAGCTTAAATATTTAAAAAAAAATTAAACAAAGCGTTTGAATCAATTTTAAACTGATAACGAATTATTGCTTTAAAATTAAAATAATAATAATAAAAACTGCGCCAGATAAGAGTAATTGAAGTAATTGCTTTATACAGCGCATGTGTGGAAAAAAATTTTTTTAAAAATTATCTAGGTACACCTAAAAGTGGATGAATATCCCAAGACACCAGATCTTAGAACTAAATAATCTATCAATTGTTCTCACTGAACATTTTAAATATTCCAATGTATGTTATAAAAATAACGCATATTTAGTTTTCACATATTTTAATAGACATAATTAATTTTTAAATATAAGCTTTCAAAAGTAAGTTTTTCAAGCAGACTAAGAATGAAAATTTTTTTTCATTTTTGTTAAACCTATAACGAAAAATTCGAAAATATGCTGACAACGTTTTTCATTTTAAATAATGATAAAATATAGGATTGTTTTCTCGTTTTTAATATACTTGAAAAACGTAATTTTTTTTAATCATTTTATTTCGTTATGCACTGTTTTTCTAGTGAGTTACATGATATAGAAAATTTATAGCAAATCGAGTTCTAACCTAATATAGTTAGCTCTGTGAAATTGACAATACACAGTCCCATCATTTTTGCTACATTTCCATTCAGAATGCTGACGTATTCTCGAACTCCTAAAATTTCCTAAAAAAAAATTTAAAAATATTTTATTTTTTACCACTATTTTCCACTCATATTTGCAATTAGGTTATAAATACATAAATATAAGAATCAGTTGAATTATGATCTTTCGACGAAAACCATTATACCTAGATCTACTCTTTCATGAAAGCTATGGTTAGCATTGTACAGCCTATACTATATTTAAAGCAGCGTTTATAACTCACTTTTTTCTGTCTATCTTAATTAAGGATAAATGCAAAACCTATTATAGCTGAAGCTTAATCAAGGGTAAGGATATAGAAATTATTATTTTAATGCATATTTAATGACGATTTAGTTCTTTTTAAAAAATATCAACATGGTGTCATAAAAATCACGCAAGAAATAATTTATATAAAACAGGTTTTATAAGTTCAATAGAGATTGATTAAGGTTTTTTGATAAAAATTGTGATTTTTTTAATTGATTCATTAATCATAGGTAGTTATAGCAAATATTATCAATGCGTGTTTAGGGTTGACTAAGATTTTCTTCTAAAAAATTAAATACAGGTAGTCTGAAAAACAACGCAAAAATTAATTTTGATATAAATTAGGTTTTATACGTTCAATACAGATTGATTAAGGTTTTTAGATGAATATTGTAAATTTTTATTGATTTATTAATCATAGGAATATATAGCAAATATTATAAATGCATATTGAGTGTTGACTAGGATTTTCTTCGAAACAATTAACTACAGGTAGTCTTAAAAAATTACGCAAGAAATAGTTTTGATATAAAACGGAATCTATATGTTTGATGATTAAGATTTTAAATTAAAAATTACGAATTCTTTACTGATTCATAATATATGGGTGGAAGATGCAGCAAACTTAGAAGTTTAAATGCGTGTTTAACATCGACTAGGTTCGATAAAATAGTTAACTGTAGGATGTTGTTAAAACTACGCAAACAAAATCATTTTGATCTAATCTTGATACAAGTTAATTAAGATTAGTTAAAAAAACTTGAATTTTTTTATTGATTTATAAATTATACAACATAAGGTTATAAACGGAAAAACTTATTTTTTCACTCAAACAGTCATTCGTCGAAGTCAATGACCATTTTGCATAAATGTGGCATAAATTCGGTAACAAATCATTCCTTTTTTCCTTTTGTGGGGATTGGAGTTATCGACAATGTCTACCATCATCTCTGAAAAAGTACCCCTTCATTGAATCGAGTTAACATGTCTTATATACTAGTGAATTGTAATTGTAATTTTGTAGTGGTAGACATACTGCAGAACTCCCCCACCAGATTTTTTTTTAATGGTGGTCATTTGGGACATTGACCCATTGGCCACAGGAATGGTAAAATTATAGCTGTGATAGAATTCGACGAATGGATACCACTATTTGATTCATTACTGTTTTGTGAGAAGCCGGGAGATCTGTATTAAGATCACCGTACTTTTTGAGTACTGATCGTGAGAGCTGTATTAAGTTCACTGTCGTGGTTGCTCCTGTGTTACCAATAGCAGTCGAGTGTATGCAGGCCGACGTTGCGTGTGATCGAGACTGAGCAGCAACAGCGCGAGGAGGTGGATATGTCGCAGTCACATGTAGCAAGTCAACTGCTCAACGTGGATCATCCAGTAGGCGTGTTCATATAGAAGTGGGAATTTTTGTCAAGGTAGGCATGTTCACATCACGTCCGAAGGTAGTAGTTATAGACAATGTCAACCTTCATCTATAAAAAGGTACCCCTTCATAGAATCGAGTTAACATGTCTTATATGTTAGGGAATTGGAATTGTAATTTTGTAGTGTTAGACCTACTACACACCTTAAACCGTGGCTGATAATGGGCGTGACTTACAAAAACGTTTTACAGCAGTGAATTGTATGATTTGGGCATAAATTTCATGACATGATGAAGAATCAACAATGCGAAAAATATTTTTTAACAATAAAGTCACGCTGTTATTTTCTTAGAGCTCCGTTTTTAATGACCCTGAACTGTCAGGCTGTTCTTCTATTATTGTTAGCAAAACATTCTTGCAAAAATGGCAAATTATTTTTTTATCTCGCTTGATTTTTGGAACAATTTTTATCAAGTAATGAATTTGAAGAGAATGTTCATCTTGATATTGCGAACTATAAGCGATAATTTATACCAATTACGCAATTGTCATGTAAAAAAAAACAGAATACTGGAAAATACTAGGTTTTACAGGTAAAACTTTTACAAAAGTGACTTGGTAAAAGTAGGCTTTAATAGGATTCCAATTCGGCCTTTTACCAAGCCATTGCAGCAAGACCTTCGAGTTACGCAGCCATTTTGGTAAATCTTAGGTTTTACCAGACTTTTACAGCTACATATACACAAGTATTTAACGCTTTTCTTCAAAAGCGTAGGTTTTGCAGCTAAATAACTCAATTGAAATCGAAATTAATTAATCAAATAATCAAAGGAGTTATAAGCATAACAATGAAAGACAATGAGCACAAATTAGCGTTGTATAATTGTACTTCTTAATAGTTGTATTAAAATAAGAATTTAAAAATTCTTGGGTTTGAGTTCCCTTCCCGCCAGCAATTTCCAAATCCAGCTGTGCTCCTTCCCTTTTTTTAGTATTTTTTTAAATAAACAAAGAAAATTTGGTTCTTGACATTGTTTTACTCAAGTAACAAGTTTTAAAAGAAATAAAAGCTTGTATTATAATCGGGACCAACTACTGCCAAGAACAAAATCTCCTTAAAAATAAAAAAAAATATAGGAGAACGTGTAATTAAAGGCCGCCTAAATTGTAAAATAGCTCCTCATCGGCCTACCCGTTGGATGTTTCTGCAATTTTCATTTTGTTTCGTATTTTCAATTTTCGATTTTGTCGTTAACTTATCTTTAAGAATAGGCTTAAAATTGCAAGGCTAATAAGTTGAACACGGATTTATACTGTTTAACACCAGTTATAAAATAAAATAGTATAAATGTGAGTTACTGTAATTTGTGTGATTTTGCGGGGCCATTTAATGCCATCAAACAAGAAGAAGGGAAAAAAATACTTACATGCATTGCTTCTTTCAACTCCATTGATTTTTCATGAAGTCTTAAGCAAACAAATTTTATATAGAGTATGAGAGTCTCGCACTGTACGCAGTAATTAATGGCCACAGCTACGTTCACCCCTTGAACTAAGATCATACCAGCGAATTTGATTCCGATGAAAACATATTTACAATACACTCCACAACTAAAAAATATGGCATCATTAGTTTCAATTCCACAAAGAAATAGTATTTTGATGTTGGAAAACTAAAACTGCGTTCTTTTGCATCCAAATAATATTCGTATGACTAGATTTTTCCAAAAAGTCGTTCTGCGTCTTAAAAATTCAGTTTTAATAGTTGATTCGGTATTTTAAATTTATCTCAATAATGAACACAAATACTGATACATTACATTTTAACTTAGTTATATTGCATTATAGTGTAGTTAAAATGTAATATAACTAAACACTTTAGCTTACCGAATGAAAGAATTTATCTCAATAACGAACACAAATAATGATTTATTACATTATAACTTAGTTATATTGCATTATAATGTAGTCACAATGCAATGTAACCAAGCATTATATCTAATCGAATGAAAGAATTAATGAAATAATAAAATTCGAAAGTTTGACATGGTGGTGGTGCTCTAACAAATGCAAAATTACTTATAACTGAAGAACTTAGTGGAAGAATCGGCGAAGTGCTATTTATAGTACAGCTTTCAGAAGAACTCTTCCAGACACCCGTCTCGCGTCGTGGCGGGTGCTATGGTTACGAGGAAAGGTCACTTCGAATAGGGATATGGGCTGAATAATTTTGTCTTATTCTTAGCTTAGGTCGTCGTAAGTAAACCAATCGACGCCTTCTTTCCTCCATTTCACCCCCATTAGAAATGTGCTCTCGCTTGTAACCATAGCAGCAGACAGCCCCAAACTTTCAGTCTGGAGGAGTTCTCCTCAAAGCCGCACTATAGGTGAATTTGAGTAAATGTGCTCAAGATTTTAAAACGAAAAAAAAAAAGGATATTACTCGAGACTTCAAAATAAATGAATTTTATCTCTGATGAATAAAAATTTTTCATTTAAAAAATAAATATTTCTTATTTGCTTTAAATACCTGAATACCATCACTCACAATTCTAGTTTCGTCTGCGGGAAAGTAACATTGTACAGCACTTCTACACCAACTTGACAAAGAAGCCACAAAATAGCAGCATAGAAAAATAACCTGAAATTATGCACAAAACATCAGAAAATTTTAAGATCTTCTACAAAATCCTAAAAACAACACTTTTATGCTTGTAAATTGTGTCTCAAAACTCAAGCTAGATCTGATCTGTGCGCCATTTGTGTCATTAAATATTATCGAAGAAACTATATATACAGCGGGATAGTAGACTGTTTAAATTATTAGAAGTGATAAAGAAAAACGAAAATTTAAATCAGTCTTTAATATTTCAGTTTACCGTCGGATTACTTAGCCCAATTTTATATATCTAATGAAAAATTCTTGCACTTCTCCAGCAACTGAAAGAATACAGAAAGGGGAAAGAGTTTTTTTCTTTTCCTATAAAAATTTTAAAAAAAGAAAATACTAAGCTGGCAAAGACCACCAAGGCAACTTTGACCACCAGGTGTTTATTAAAAAATGCCACTTAAGTCATCTTTTCAGAAATAATCTGTCGTGGAAACTATCATAGTTCTACAGGCCGTTGGAATGCAACTAGAAAGTTTAAATTTGATATGTTGAAATAGACATACTTTTTTATGAACTTAGAAAAGAGGTTTTCTTCTTTTCGAAATTTATAATTTATCACAGTTGTAAGAGCTTATCTTGACAATCTTTACTCATTTTTTTTCTTACACTTTGAATTATGGTAGAAAAATGTTCAATATTTCGTAGATTTGTAGAAAAATATTCAAGGAGTTCGATAAAATGAAAAAATTATGATCCGATTTCTAGATCGAGAATCATTGATTATTGATTTTGCAATAAACCACTTTGCAGTCTACTGATATGCAACTACAGATTTGAAATTTGACGCGCGCTGATTGGACTATTTTAAAATTTTAAGTTAATGAGAGCTTTTTTTCTTCTCTTTTTCGAAATTCTTACTTGTTCGTAAGTTATTACAATTTTAAGTGTTTCTTATTTTTTCAATTTGTTTTTTAAAAATAATTATTATTTACCCATCGCTGTAGAAAAATTGCGATTTTGCATTTGTTGGGATAGCGATTTTTTGCGATTTGTAGAAGAAAAGTTGCGATTTCATCTCTAGCGATTTTCATTTTATGAACTTGTTTCACCTTTCTAAAGTCGCTTTATCACGTACCTGTATAAAAAAATTCCATAAGTACAAATGCGCTTATTGTTTCTTTTCATTTATGCACACCACTCATAATTTATAAGAAATTCGCCCTAAATCGACTCTTCGCCCCAATATCGACTAATCGATATGGAAAAAAGTTCTACAACATTGTAATTCCTTCTTCACCAATATTTCTTACCGTATCCAGAGATAGAAACGCTAACTCCGAAGTTTTTAATCGTAAGACGCCGTAAATGGTCTCATCATGTCGAACACAACCATTCTACTATACATAGACATCACTCATAAATATAGCAGCAGCTGTTCGATAATTAAGAGGGTGGTTATGGGCCTTCGTTGACACCTTTTATGCATTTTTTGTTTTACAAAACAGTCATTTAATGTTCAAAAAGCATTTTTATTTGTTTATCGCAATTATATTTATTGAACGTAATTAAAATAAATAATACAAAATCGCAAAAATCGAGAAATTTTACTCACCTTGTATTACGAATCAAAGAGTTTTGGAGTCCACGTGTTGAGTGTGATTGTAAAAATACCTGGAATTACAGAGAAAAAAAAAAGAATTATATTGAACAGCGAGGAAAAAAATCAAAAACGGAAAACCCAGAAAAAGTTAAGATCTAGTGAACTTCATGTACTAGGAAGCAATCTTAATGGTTTAAAGAGGGAATCTCAAATATGCTGATTAATTCGTGCAGATTATATTTTAAGTTACCAAATCAGACAGAAACACGTTCTTTATCTTAACAAACATACCTTTTTTTTCAACGGAATTATATTCCTTACCTTCAAAATATGGGGGATAGCATCAATATGAAAAATATGTTCCCAATACGTGTATTTCGCCATATCGAGAATTTTTTATGCGAATTGAAACAATTTTAGACACAATTATTATATTTGTTTTTCTTAAAATAATTCCTTGCAAAAAAACCTTTTTAGTAATCATTTATTATTTCGTAATATTTTATCCACTAATAATCGTAAAATTTCGAATTGTAATATAGATATATTTCTTGCATCATTTTAAATAATTCAGTTGCAAATGAAAATGTATTATATATGTATGGTATATGCATTGTATATTTTAAATAATGCAATTGTGTATCGAAAAACACAAAATTTTTGAGTAAAATAGGTCAAATAGTTCCTGAAAAATCAAATTTCAATGTATACTTTCTTTAAATTAGACTTCTCAGGAGCTATTCGACCGCTTTTTGTTCAAACTTTGTAATTTGTAATTTAAGGTTATCCTTCTAATTCATTAAGATTGAGTCGTGTACATGAAAATCTGATCATTAGATCAAAAGTTATTCAGTGCTTTATTCCTTTTTTTTCCTTCCTTTCTGTGCTTTGCTGAACATTTTGCAATATTCACTGTTGATTAATTTTTGTTGTTGTCTGGCATACAATTTAAATTAGACCTGAATATGACGTAAAAAAATACATGATCACCTTTTTCACAATCACTTTTTCCCAATTTTAATGAAAGAAAAAAAATACATTAAGCTTTGCCTTTTAAATTATTTTACCATTCATTTCAAATAAAGTAAAATTTTAAAAAACGCATTACAATAAAAATGGAGGGAGAAATTTAAATATTCCGAACAATGGTAGTCTCGAAACTTGACCTCATTTGATTCACATTAAATAATGCATTGATTACAATATTTCATTTGAATGTAGCAATATTTAATCAATTACTGCAGGATAGTATAATTTTTTCATATTTTTTGAAACATTGTTACAATTTCAACGTCCAAAATCAGCTATCATACAGAATAAATTATGCTTACACGTTCCATTAGTGAGAACAGTTGTTCACAGGAGACCACTCTAAAATGATAGAATCCGTAAGAATAAGCCAAGAAATGAACAAAACTGGGCACCACATATGTCGGGATGATATGCTGACAATAAGACTGCTGTATAAGTTTAGATGGAACTTCCTTCGATGCGACGACATATCTAGCACGACAGGAGAAAGTTATTAATCCCCAAGTACAATTTCCATTCATATCCACAGCTTGTGGTGGAGGGGGAGGCTCTGGTAATGGCTGCAAAAATAAACAGTTTATATTTTATTCACTTTATTAAATTTATATTTAAATAGACAGTATAGTTTTTTCAAACGTCTACCCGGAAGCCGATATGGCTCAGGGAATAGATCGTTCGCCTTCCAATGAGGTGAATCAGGGTTCGATCCCGGCGATGACTGGTCGATACGAATTCTGCATCCGGTGTGCGCCGACCACAGTGCTGACGTAAAATATCCTCAGTGGTAGAGGGATCATTGGTTAGAGTGCTTTTGCCGTTAGTCTAAACGTGGGACGTTTTCCTCTCCATGTATCGCAAATGCTGGTTAGTTCCATCAAAAAGTCATCCACGAAAGCAAATTTCTCCCAATACTTTCTCTAGGAGTTCCCTTGTCTTCTGGATTGGGTTCAAAATTACAAGGCTACGGAGTTGAACATTACTAGTCGTAAACCCAAAAGTTGGGTCGGTTGTTCAACGACGGTTATTAAATAAAATAAAATGTATACCCGATTGACACTCGTCATTCAAATATCAGTCAGGCAGATTTGTTGGTCAATCTTTCGGGAGCAGCATATTAGGTGGGCCAACGGTACTCCCACTGTAAGAACAGATGGTACAGAGAATGAAAGAACATTCATGCCTTGTCTGTATTCGAACTCAGGATCTTTCTTACGTGAGATCAGCTCCTTGACCACTACACAGTCCGATTGGCATAGATAGTTTTGTTAGTCCTAATATTTATATTAGGCACTATAATCAAGGAGCTGGTCAACTGGGCAAGGGATCAGCGTGCTTGTCTGCGAAGCCAATGGTTGCAGACTTAAATTCTGCTCAAGGCCTGGATGTTCCTATCTGTGTGTTGTCCTCTGTTATGTGAATATCAGCCACCCTATGAACGGGTATCTGTGGCAATATGGAGTGGGTAATGCTGTTCCTCACGCTTAGGTTTGCAGGTGTCGATCAAGTAACGTTAAATGAGGAGCAATTCCAGCATCTTCCTAGGCAAAGAACGAGAAATTCAGTGCCTGCCGTTAAAAAAAAGGACAATTAAGGAGATAGAGCGTTTCTCTCTCACACTATTGACTCAGGTTCGACCCCCACAACTAATTGATTTGTATTCTGCTCTCGGTCCGCCAGCCACGGACCACTAAACAAAAAATTTGCCCACTAGTAGACAGTAAATGAATCAAAAATTTCTTGGAGAGAACCAAAAAGAGTTTCAGATAAAGGAAATGCAAGTTTTCTTTCCTCTGGCTTTATCAATTTGAAGAATTCCTCTTGCTTCTGAAACGTTTCAAATGAAAAGAGCATAATTGGAATAATAGTTAAGTTATAAGTTTTAACAACTTAGTTGTTGCCTTTAATTTTAGCAATGAATTTTCATCGATTTAAATCTATTTCAGAACTTAGAAAAGATAAAAAAATTTTAAAAATAACTTCTGTGATATTATGAGTTACAAAAACAAAGAGATCCAGGGAACAGGTTTCAAGTAGTAATTTTTTTACTGAAATCCCAAAATTCATATTATAATCAGCAATTACATATTTTTAATAATTCTATGACAAATGATAAAAATAAATTTAAAATACCAACAGCACAAATAAAACTAAACGGTTTGAAATATAAATTTGCGTTCGTGCTTTTACAGCGTAATTTAATACAGCTTTAATTAGTTTATCTTTAAAAAATCTGTTTCTCTACATTTTTGGAGAGTTTTCATCCAAAATTAAGAATACAGACTAGTCTTTAGTTTTTTACAAAGCAGAAGTTTTATATTTAACGTAGTTTCTTTTCAATAGGTACTAAATTTTGTACTAAGTTATTGCTGCTAAGTTATGCATTAAAATATGAAAAAATAACAGTCCTACCTGAATATCTATATGTATATTGTATTTTCCTTGACAGTTCAATACTTGAGAAATGTAATGGCAAACTATGAGTGTCAAAACTACTGCAGGATAGAAGTAGTTAAAAAATCTCCAGAACCCAGATCGCACACTTAAAGATTCATAAAACCACGGCCGCCAGCCAATCTGCAAAAATTAAGTTATTTCTATTGCCGATACTTTACAGATAGCATAATTAAAGAGTTGGAAAATAAGAGCATAAAAACAATTAAATGCTTTAAAATAAGTAGTAATTATATCAGAGGTTGATCCTTCCATGGTTATTCCTACGGATACAATTACATAAGTTGAAGAATTCTAGTGCATAATTGAAGAGTTTAGTGGAAGAACAAGGTAAGTAACATTTTCAGGGGTATTTATGAATAAGAGAAAGTAACATTAAGTAGCTGCATCTATATGGATATATTTAATCTGCAGAATAGTTTTTGCTCTGTTTCTTTTTCGTGTTTAATTTTATTATAACTAATCCACATTAGTTTTGAGTATGCTTGCATGGTTTTTATAAATTTAAACTGTAATAAAGGGGGGGGGAATCCCAACACCAAGAAGAAGTTGTACTAAATAAACTAAATTTGGTAAGCTTGTTTATATAACTAAAAGAATGTCGACGACATATTGCGTTGGCCTGCTAGATCACCAGATATTTCACCAATCTGGCACCTATGTGACATCATTAGACAACAACTTCTGCGTCATCCACAACCCGTATTGACTGGCTGACCAAATGCAACAGGCATGGAACTCCATTCCACAAAATGACATACAGATCTGTAAGAGGCACAATGAATGCTAGTTTGCATGCTTGCATTCAAAATTCTGGTGGTTACACTGGTTATTATTGTACCAGTATTTCACATTTGAAATGATTTTTTTTCTTAATTGCATTCATCTGTGATCTTGAAACTTTAATCAATTAAATATACTACTTAGACAAACGCATTGCAAAATTTCATTACTCTACAATAACTTTTTTCTTGGTGTTGGGATTTTTTTTCTTTCTCCATCAGTGTATTTCGGTTACCACTTTTTTTTTCTTCTTGCCTTCATGATAGCTTTTCTGAAAATATTTACCTACCTGCTTCTGCTACTAAATTGATTCTTTCATTGATTAAGAGTTGCAAAATGGTCTAGAAATACTAAACATTTAATTCCCAAACTTTAGATAACATTTATATAAAAATCATCAAGATGTCTACTGCGATTATTGTTCTTACTTCAATTTGTTTACTTCGATTATTGCTCTTCAAATTCTACGTATCTATTAATCTTCATTTAGCTGTAAATTATAAATTGTTCGGCGTTTAATTAACATGGACCAAATTATGAAAGGAAAAACAATGCCTAATGACGTTATGAACTAGGAGCTCCATAAAAAAGCAGATATTTATGTTTGCTAACATTAACGAAATTTTCAATATGAAATAATTCACCTCATCAAATTTTCAAAATGAAGTAATTCATCTTAGTTCTACCCTCAAAAGTTATATTAAAAGCCAATCCATATTTTAAAACTCGGTACACTGGCATAAATACCAACTGGAACTAAATTCTCTTGAAATAATTCAAATAATAATGAGAACTAAAAATTACCACACCTATTTAATTCGAAAATCCCAAATAGGTGTTGAGTCGAATCGAGTGAGTTGAGTCTCAAATCACCTTTTGATCTTGAAATATGATTCAAAAATAAATCAGTACTGCTCTATATTTTCAGCTGTAGCACAAATTGTTCAAATTATTTTTTTTTAAATGATTAAAATTTAGAAAAAAAACTTTGTTGAATTATTTAAATCATTCGTAAAGGCACTTACGAAAGACAGAAGAAACGAGTATGGAGCAATTATAACTCTTTGGCACCTCCTAAGAGAAAGTGGAACATATTGAGCATTCACGTCACCAGTAAGATCGGATATCTGTAAAAGAAAAATATTTGTTTAAATAAAAAAATTTACATATATATATATACATATAAACTTGACGGAACAAACCTAAAGGTTATCTTTAGGACGCATTCCTTTACGAGAAAGACATTTCTAAATAAAGAATTACTATCGTTGATATAATTAGATAAGATTAAAATATTAAAATTAATTCGTTATACTATAATGAGGCCATATATGTATAGTTTAGGTCAATACTCCGGGGTCACAGTAAGTGAAATATTCGAATCAACTAGTAAACAATTTATGCACACTATGCATAATATTATTTGTCATACTGGCTGGTTGGTCATACTTTAAAAAGCAATAAAATCTAAACGAAATAAAATATTTATATTGTGTTCTTTGATAAGAATTACGTTTTTGAAAGATATATTACATGAAGTATCGCTTCCTCTATTTTCCATGTTTTTATGCAATTTTATGCATCATCTTATCATGTATCATCTTATATATCATCTTTGTTTTAGAGTGTTGTTTTAATGGGCTTCTATGCTTTTGAAGGGTTTGGTTAATATACGGCATTACGATGTTATCGTTTATGACTACACAAATCATTGCACAAAATTTTTACCTACCCATTGATATTTAAACAATGTTTTGTATATTAAAATTAAATGTTTTGAAACCAAATATAAAAAAATCTGGCTTAGTTTCTCTTATTTCAATTAATGTTTGCTTCGCTATTTCATTTAATGCTTGTTTTATTTATTTGTTTTATTGCTAAAACTCCCAACAAAGTACAATTGTATTAATCAAAATAGTCACTGAATGCAAATTAATAATTGATATCAAGAAATTCTTCTGTATAAATTAATACCGGAGCCAATGAGTCCGGCTCCAAATCGTTTAAATCAATTAAATTTTTTCAAAAACATTCTCGATACGAGTTAAATTTTTCAAAAACAGATTAACTACCTACAAAATAGTTATTTTAATGATTTGAAATGTTGGTTTTCAGAAGGCAACCATCAGCACTTACGTCGACATGGACAGCACTGTCCATGCTGAGACTCCGGCAAACGAAATCCTGATTTTGAGAAGTCATAAAATGTTCTCCTGCTACACAACATGATCCTCGGCTCTGAATACTACCGTAAGTAGAACGTCTACAGATCTCTTCTTCTGACAACGAATTAAGCACTGTTTCATTGAATGAGGTTGAGATTACTGGAGGGCTCAAACTGTCTGTTGGAAGCTGGGGAAAGAAAAAAAAAAGTTACCGAATACACTAATGTGACGTATTGAAATTCGAACGATTTTATGAGAAAATAAGAAGCCATATGAACGTAATGATCACAATTTCATATTCAACCAGCAGTTCAAAATAATTGGGGGAAATTTTTTTAAAAATAAAAGCTATAGTATTTCCTATCGCTTACGATAGATGGCACCACTAACTACAGATATTTCTGAATATTTGCTGTAAACATTTTGAGGTTGGTACTACTACAATATTACTGCAGTTTACTAACAGCAGTAATTTTGCAGTGTTTCCACTTCAAAAATTCAATAGCGGGATTGGCCAAATCATCACAGTCTTCAAACTGCTTTTTTTGTAGATTTTCTGCAGTTCATTTTTTTAGCTGGGAACGTCTAAAGATCTCTCCTTCTGACAAGGAATTAAGCACTGTTTCATTGAATGAAGTTGAGATTACTGGAGGGCTCAAACTGTCTGTTGGAAGCTGAGGAAAAAACAAAAGAAAAAGTTATTCAATACGCTCATGTAACGTATTGAAATTCGATCGATTTTATGAGAAAATAAGAAGCCTTATGAACGTGATGATCACGATTACATATTCAACCAGCAATGTTCAAAATAATTAGGCTTTTTTTTCATTCAACCTGCTGTGAATCGTCCAATTTACGATAGTTTACATGCAGTAATGTTCTTTTAGCAATGTGCAATATTTTAACGATTTATTTCATAAGATTAAAGTTTAAATCCGCTCATTTTAAAAATACCATAGTATATCCCAGGAACGTAACGAAAACGAAACGATCCGCATAATGGTATTTTTAACCAGAATATTAAGTAACATTAAAAATATTCTTTATTTAGAGAAATTATCTTTAAACGAATATTCAAGGCGTTCATTTTTACAATTTTTGTCTTCTCTGAAGATAATCGCAATTCATAGCAGAAATTTAAAATTTTTTGGAGCATTAAAAGGAAATGGACGAATAACTGATGACTGAATAACTTTTTTAAAAGTGGACACTTTTTCAAAAGTGGATGAAGATATTTTGAACAGGGTGAGAGACAAGGATAAAAAGGCAAGGAAAATGATATTAATTTCGAAAATAAAGTCGTGATTTAGCCGACTAGACTGAAATGCTGTGATCATTTTTCCTAAATGTGAGAAAATGAGTCCAACTCTATTTTTAAAACAATCTTTAAATGTAAAAATTTCTATGAACCTCATGAAATGCAAAGATATGCAACAGAAAATAAACCCAGTGCACAAAATAACGAAAGATATCACCTTAAATAACTTTTGTTCTAACCAACATTGAGTCTTTGCAAATCCTAACATGGAATGATGGTCAATTTTGAAGCTACCATCACGAAGTGAAATGGTTTTTGAAGAGATATTTAGTACAAAACCAACAAAATATGTCGGTTCATGATCAATTATTATAGATGGACCATCAAACAAAACCATCAAATCATGTTTTTGTTGCGACAACATAATGTTGTTCACTTTCCTACCAAGGGTTGATGGTCAGTCTCCATGGTACCATCAAAAAGTAAGATGATATTTGTTGGAGGTTCGTGATGGCTACCATCTTATTCCTGTTGGTGCAACACAGAAAAACCATCAGAAATATTGTCTTGGAAATGTTTGGGTTTTCACAAACTAAGTTCCAATCTTACTAGTTCAAAAGACTGGCTTCAAATATGCTAATTTATTAGTACTAACACGCTAACTATTGATTGAGTAACAGAAATGACGCAACATTCTCTGAATAAACATACCTTTCTTCCAACGGATTTGGATTTTTGAATAATAAAATATGGGAGGGGGGGTAGACGCAATCTGGAAAATATGGTCCCAAGTTTTGACAATACTATAGTCGAATTTTTTTGGCCATTTTGTGTTGATTTCACTTCCTTTAGCTATAGATATCAAACGGCTTTAAAACGAATAAAAAAATTGCGCATAATTATAAAATTCGTTTACCCCAAAGATAATTTAATGGAAAAAAAATAGTTTTTTTACTTTTTATTATTTTATCTAATAAAGGTAATAAAAAAAAGAATTTTAAGGTATCTTCCTTTTCTATGTCATTTAAAAATCGATTCTAAATTTGAGCAAAATCGGTTGAATAGTTTTTGGGACATAAAATTTCTAAAAAAAAGCTATATATAACTTTTTAAGTCTTGTTAGAAAATAGTTTTTAAGAATACAAAATAGTTTCAACAGCGATAAATTATGTAATGAAAAAATAACGAAATAATTTTAAAAAATTACTTTTTCACATGGAATTACATTTGAAAAAATTAATTTTATGATTTTTTTTTNTTTTTTTTTTTTTTTTTTTTTTTTTTTTTTTTTTTTTTTTTTTTTTTTTTTTGCACATCTTCTATTTACTTAAAAATTCCAGAGATATGGCTAAATACGTCAAATAAAAAGGGACTCAAACACTTATCCTGAATTTGAAAATTTAGAATACTTATCCATCGTAAAAAGACATGTTTATTTCGAGATTTGCATCTGATTCTGTGACGCAATTAATGGTTCACATTTATTAATTAGCCTATTTCATTTTAATTAGAAGTCAAAATATATACTTTTGAATTTAACACTGTTTAAAACAAACAACGTAATTAATAGACCAAGTACATTTTGTTTGAATTTTATAAAATTGAAAAAAAAAATTAAAATCTTATTAAATATATTCTAATCGATTTGAAATGGCAAAGTAAATAATAAAACAAAAGTATACTTCTTCCATGGACCACCTAATTGGCAAGGTAAAAATATCTGATCGTTTGCGCTCCATTCACATATTATCAAAAGCAACATCAAAACTCCTGAAACAACTTTGACGCTAATTTTATCAGTCGCCTTTTGAACTTTAAAACAATTACACCTGAAAATCTTATCTTTCCATTTAGTATAATCAGTGGCTTCTTTTTAAATGCGAATCATATTTTTCGGGAGGTGTTTGATCATTGTTCTACGGACATAAATTTAAATTCCCACTTAGATAATATTACATAAAATTCTATTTGATTATTTAATGGAGTGCTTGAAATATTTGTGATTTTTTAAATCAAATTTTGTTACAAGTTATTTAGCAATTTTAACTACCGGTGAATGGCAGGGCTAAAGAGAAGAGAGAAGGTCTAGTTCATTTAGCTCACTCCTAGAACTGAAGCTACGATTTCTCTTCTCATGATGTCACTGTATACACAGATCTCGGAGATCGCTAGCAAAGATATTATGATAACTTTGAATCCTTCTTCCTGTAAAAATAAGTTGGCTTTTTCTGGTTATTAGATTTCAAACTTTACATAATTAACACATTATTTCCGTTCATAAACATAGCTCAAAAAATCTATCTTGGCCATTATATTAAAAAAATACCATTTTAAACTTATAAAAATAGTTTACTATTTGGCGAAAATGACACTATGAATACTTTATTTTAAAAAGTTCAGTTTTAACTTTAATTATTAAGAAGAGCATAAATCGACGCTTCATCTTTGATAACTATAAGTTGGGTTAAATTTAGAATTCTGATTTTAAAATGTGCCGTAAATAGCAATTTGTTCATACTTAATCATTAGGAAACATCAACCATATACGCTACTTACTGAAACAAAATAATAATTTAGGTTCATAATGATATTTGAAATTTTACAATTGCTTATAGATATTTAAATTTAAGATAATATAATTTATAGATATTTAATTTTAAGAGAAAATAATTTTAAAAAATCATAAATATTTAGAATAACATTGAAAAATATGTTATGAAATTAGGAGAATTTTAACTATATACTATGTATTTTATTTATACTTTTAATTTACGCTTTAACTTTCTTTGACTTCATCCATATTTAATTTTTTCGCCTACCCTTCTTTTTGAAGTAACGAGGCGGTTTCTTTTAGATGGTGAATTTTTATAAAAGTTCATAACGATAAAATAAACGTATTGCTGCTTTATATTAACTGTGTCATTTCGTTTGCAATTCGCTGAATCCATTCTTCACATAGTTGTTCATTTACTTTAGGGAACACGTGGATAATTAGATTTTTTCCTTTTGTGTTTCGATCAGAATTTTTGCAAGTTGCAATCGCGCAAACTGGCATTTCATTAATAATATTAAATTTTTGTAAATTCACTGCAAAAAACTGAGGAAAATCATTTTATAAAACAACAAATGTCTTGGAATATGTCGCAAAAAGGAATGCTCCAATATTAGTTAGAGCTAGTTAGACCGAACGCTCCGTTCTTGAAGTAAAAGTGCAAGCTTCGCGCCACAGTGACGTCACAGGAGAAAATCGGAGGTTTGGCTCGGCGAGTGTTTCTTCAAAGGAGTGCACCAGCCCTTCTATTCTCTTAGCCCTGGGTTAATGGTACTCTAGAACGTGAAATAATAATGTATGTACTCGCCGACAGCTGTATCATAAATTATAGGTTTATAATTTATTTTTCTATTCGCAGAGTCATTAAGCTATCTTCTTTTCTTTCCCCAAGTCCCACCTTTTTCCTTCTTTTTTTAAAAAAAAATTTACTTACTATATCAAGATTCACTAAACATCGCCTAAAACATCGATAGCGCTTACGATTTTTTTTTAAATGTAGATAAGTTTCAAATAAGACTAACTTCAAAACTACATATTTTTTTTTTTTTTTTGTGAGTAACTTGTCGAAAAACCATTACTTATCTCACGTACGTTATCTCATGTACTTATTTTACATTTGGACACATATTTATAACCAATTTCAATATTAAAGTTCATCTATTTTTAACAAAGTTCATTTCTTTATTTATTGTAAAGTTTTTTGAAAATCGATATATAATTTTTTTTTATAGTTCATTCTATTATAATAGTGAGATTTTTCTTAATTAACTTGTAAGTTTTTTTATTTAGTTTTTTGTACATAAATTTTTAACAAACTCCAATATTATAATGCTTTTTTATTACCTCTGTTGTTGCTGAAGGCCATTAAAGCACTGAGGATTCGATTGTTCTTGTTTTCCAGTGGCGCCATCTATGGCCACGAATTTTACTTCTGCCACACCCATACGTCACACCCGTTTATATGGCGGACCCATTCATACAACCATGCATTCATCCACAGATCGTATTTTTGATCTCAACCAGAGACTGCTCAATCTCCAATCCAGTACCCCCAGAGGCATAATTTATTATGGATGTATGGAGAACTTGTAGACCCGACAGGTTTAATGTGCACCAGTCACCATTTACTACACGGAGGGTCTTCTGCTGTCTGGGTTCGAACTCCCGCTCTCCCGAACGTGAGTTCAGTTCCGTACCATTTATTACCTTTTTTTTCCAATTTAAGTTTTTATCTATAATTATTTTGTTTAGTCATTTGAAGTTTCTCGATCAATTACTGAGTTTAAATTCTTTTCACAGTTTATACTCAAATCTTCGTAGAGAGTTCTTTTTTTTTTTAATTTTTATGCTTCCACTTTGATTTTTTTTTTTTAAAATACTGGCTATTAATGGCAATATTCTACTAATATAACAACTCTAAATGATTGCTTTATGCGTAAAATTCTTTAAAATTAAAATTTTTTAAAATTAAAGTACTAATTATTTGTGACTTGTTAAAGATTTCAAGTTTTGTGCAAAATGCAAATCTTTCCATTTAAAATTTGTGAACAAAGTTACTTCACAATTTTATTACCTATTTTAAACCTGTGCAATTATTTCGTGGAGTACAAAACACAAGCAATTTTTTGTTTCGTAAAATTATTATCAGTCGGAAAATATGATTTATGACACGAAACGCGTATAAAAGCTGATTTGAAAAGTTTAAAAGTAATATCGACACACATAATAACTAATAACACAACTAAGCATGAAAAAATAGTAAACTATTTCCAAGATTAAGAATTTTATTTTATTTTATAACAGTAGTTGAACACAGCCAACTCAATTTTGGGTTTACGACTGCTAATATTCAACTCCGTAGTTTTGTAATTTTGAACCCAATTCAGAAGACAAAGAGAACTCCCGAATCAAGTAATGGGTGGGAAACTTGCTTTCGTAGAGGACATTTTGATGGAACTAATCCGCATTTGTGTTACGTAGAGAGGAAAACCACGAAAAACCTCCAATGGTTAGCCTAACATCAAGGGGGCCAACCCATGATCCATCTGTCTCTGAGGCTATCTTATCTCATCACTGTGGTCGGTGCGAGCCGGGGGCGGAATTCGTATCAACCAGGCCATCTCTGGGAGTCGAACCCAGGACACCTCATTGGAAAGCGAACGCTCTATCATCTGAGCCACCATGACTTTAAGATTAAAAATTATAATCATAAGCGGCAAACATAATAAAATTTTGTTGCGAAGGGCTGTTTCAGAAAGTCTGTCACCAATAATTTGATCACCAAAATCACCAATAATTTGAAAATTCAATGAAAAAAAAAACAGAAAGAAGATAGAAATACACGGTTTGAAGCAAAATCAAATAATTTATTCTCATCTAATTTCAATATAAGTTTGAAAATATATCCACAGATATTACCTGACTGAACACTTCATTCACTTAAGAAATAGCAAAAAACAGTAGTTATGTTTCAAGCGGCTCAAAAATAGGCGCTCATTTTCAAGACTTGCCAGAAGTGAATGGGAAGAAACAAAGTGATTTTATATAAAAAGCGTAAAGTAGCCAACGTAAAATAAAGGTGATCAACAATACTAGAAAACCACAGTAGCCGAGAGATAAAAAGATGAAAGCCGAACAATAAAAACCACACTGGCAAATCAAGGTAAAATGCATTTCCACGCGCTACAGAGAGGTGGTGAGGAACTAATGTCATTAACAAGGGAATCAGCATTCATATGAATAAAACAAGATTCTAGAGTACCAAGTTCAGCTAATGTGACTAGGGTGGCAATAATTTTGGAATTGTAGCAATTGAATTTATGTACAAGATTCCAACAACGTGGTCGACAGATTTCAACAATGTGGTGATTCCTCTGGATGATTCCAACAACAGCCAAGGTCGAACTGACAAGGAATGTGGTAAATTTCCAAAAGATTATCAAAGCTAATAGGATTCTTAAACTGTTTAGACTTTAAACTGTGCTTTGAATCCCATTTCTTCACAGTGACTTAATTACTGATATATATATATATATACATATATGTATATATATCAAATGGATACATTTCATATATATAATATAATCTTTCAGCTGCCAACAAATAGTTTTAACATGTTGTGCTTGGTTGGAATTAAACAAAAATGTAAAGTTGACAATTTTTTTAAAAATCGATATGACCGTATATAAATACTCGTAATTAGTTAAAGTTATTAAAATTCAATAAACAAAATACTCGTAGTTAACATAATCAATTGAAAAACAACCCAACAATTAATGTGCATTATATGTAATGGTGCAAAAGCTATATAATTTAGGTTTATTTCAAAAATACAAAACACAATCGAATATTTGACCGTATATATTACGATACATTAGCAATCATTATAGTAGTAATTCAAATGGAAAACTAATAAGCACAAAGTTGTATCCAAACGTCATTTTAAAAAGTTTAAGGTACAAAATCGAAACAATTAATAAACATGAAAAATAATAAAGTGTAAAGAAAGCTGCACATATAGCACTATGTGAATCAAAGCAGGTATATTACAAAATGCATAGTTCCCGTCTTAAGTACCAGAAATAATTTAAAAATTTGCTTCATTAAATAAGAATAAAAATACAATACAAATCAAAACTTTTAATCAGACTTGGCAATCAACTTACCTGAGGATAACTAGAAGATCTATTTTTCAACATTCTTATTTTGTTCTAAATAAATAATTTTGGAATACTTATGATGGACAATTTATTTTCAAAGTTCTTTTTGAAAGCATATTGATCTGATCACTGATAGTGTTGGAACCATGCAGGTGAAAATCTTGGAAAACAAAGAAAAATTATGATCGCAAATTAGCAGACTTTAAACTTAGTGAAGTGTCAGTGCTTTATGCAGACGAATTGTTTTCGAGTTAAGAATCAATTAGAGATAAATTTTATCGGTCGAATTTCAGCGTTCTGAGTTACAAGAGATAAATTTTGTCACTAATTTTAGGCAACCGTGGAAGAAAAAAAAAGAATGTTAATTACGACTTTAAAAAACGATTTTTAGAAGCTTTAAAAAAATAATAATAACGAAACTATTTTAGATATTATGAAAATTAAATTATTTTTTCAACAACAATTTATGATTTTTAAAAAAAAAAAAAAACTATTTTAAACAAGGTTTCTTTTTCAAAGAAACTTACATTTAGAATGCATAAAAATGCATTTTTTAGAACTTTCTTCTTAAAACCTGAAGTTTGGTACATTAGCTTTAAACTTTTATAACTTAATAATCATGAGGATTGCAGTAATATTTAGTTTTATTTTACGGTCTAGGCCCTTATTATTAACTGTCTTTTAAATTTTAATTCTGATTTTTCTGTGAAAAAGATGGAACTTTCAATTTGTCTTTATTATCATTTTATTCATAAAATCACAATTCATGTAAAGCATTACAATTTATTTGTTGGGTTTGCGTGGAAAAATATTCATTGAAAACTAAACGGTTCATTTTAAAATGCTAGAATGTGTGTTTATGTTCAATATTTTATTTAGTTATTTACGTAAACTACTTTACCTGGTTTTAATAAACAGTTTGTACACATATCTTCAGGCATTTTTGTTCATATCAAGCATTTGTTTGAGATTAATATAAACTACTTTTTTGCCTTTCAATTAATAGTACAGACTAGTTATAATCAATTACTCAGAAAAGATAGAAGTAAAGGAAACAAACTTTTTGATATATTAAATAAAACTACTTACAGTTTGCTTCACAAGATATTTCATCTATTTAAGAACAGTTAACTCGTTTTCATAGGCATTTCCCATAATATTACTGAAGTATTTTGATTATCATCAAGCAATTTCATAAAATTTAAAGCAGATCAAAGATCTCTTTTAAATTTTAGACAACACAATTGCATTATTCTCCAGCAGAAGAAAAAACTTTAACTTATCCGAAATACAGATTGGCGTTTAAAATATTAAGTTATAATCATTAAATAAATATTGATTTCGTATAGTGCATTGATATTTGCAATTAAAATGCTGTTATTGACATTTTTAATAAAAGTTCAACTGGAGCGGACCCAAAGATTTAAACCAATTACCGTTCTTAAAAAAGGTGAACTGGTTCAACTACAATTAACAAAAGTACGGATTAAGTACAAAAGTTAAACAGGTTTCATGATCAAAAGTCTCACTAATTACTCATTGAATGTTTAATAGATTAATTTCTTTATGCCAATGCTATAATTTTTTACCGACTTAAGATTTGCTAAAAAAGCTTAGAGGTCTTCCTGACCAAGTGGATTCGCCGTACCGCCAAACATCCTGTAGCGTAGAGGTAACAGGTTTGAATCCTGTTCAAACACTGCGCGCATCTTTGTAGTAGTAGTAGTTCATTTACGTCGCACTAGAGCTGCACAATGGGCTATTGACGACGGTCTAGGAAACATCCGTGAGGATGATCCGAAGACATGCCATCACAATTTTGATCCTCTGCAGAGGGGGTGGCACAGCCAGCTTCGGTAGCCCGACGACCTGCAAGCGAAGTCGAGCACTTAACGGTACAATAGTTCAACTAGGACCAATACCGCACACCCTCGGTCCCTACGCAGACTGATCCAAGTGGTCACCCACCCGTACGCTGACCGCAGTCAGTGATGCTTGAATTCGGTGATATGCTGGGAACCGTGTCTTAACGATCAGTCCACCGCGGGACCGTGCATCTTTTATTATATCTCTTTAACTAGTGCTATTTGTCCTTCAATTTTGCAAAGGCTTATAAGCTTACTTAGTAACGAGCATATTGAAATTACATACATTGGCAGGTTTGTTTGCTCAATTTAGGCTTAAAGACCTCTGTCAAGAGTAGAAGAACAGATAGAACAATTTAGAGAAGGATATAACAAAAAATGTATTCAGGGTTACGGCGGGATTTGGACCCACCACCTTCGCGCTTGAATGAGCATACAAACCTACATATGTATGTGTAACAATAAATAAATATGGGTGCCTCGTGGCCAAAAGGTGTCACCTTTTCACTAAGTGCACTACAAAGGGAAGGTAAATTCCGCAGTATGTATCGTTTCGCTCCACTAGGGCAGTATTTCCCAAACTTATGTCTTTTGTGTTTTTGTTTTTTTTCGTAACGTGGTGTACCACTAATTAAAAAGTGATTGTATTTTTTTAAAAATATGCTTGTTTTTCTTTTTTGTTACAAAGTTTTGTAGACACTAACCAGCGATCCATATTCTACGTTAAAGATAAAATTTTATAAAAACAATCAAAATAAGTAGAATTTATTACAAACCTTTACTATAAAAAAATAGCACAAAACAATAAGTAAAAGCAACTGGTTATTGACAGCACTAATTATTAACTGTTAACTCTGCAAGAAATAGCCAATAGAAAAATACGTAATCGTAAATTTTCATGACTAGCTTTTTTTTTTTAAATAAAATTTTCGCTTGTTGCAAAATATTTCGCATAAGAACACGAACCCCTGGAGGTACGCGTACCACGCTTTAGCTCTAAGGTTTATAAAGCTTTCTTGTGTATTTAGCTTATAAACTGGTATAAATAAATAATTCCGAAAAGATATATCCTTTCCGCCATACGCAGAGTCCGCCATAACACAGATTGTATCTCTTTTTGGGGAGAGAGGGATCAATTTGGCATTTTTGTTTAATAAGCTGCTCTTTGTGTTCAACACAAAAGCTCACATTTGTATGCGAATTGCTTAACGCAGCTACGGGCAGAGGATGCGGTCGGTAAAAAATAGGATTACACCCCTCCTTCTTTTGAAAATGAATATTGAGAACATTCAAGTTGAATGTTGGAAACATTTGACTACAGCAGAATTCGTTTCGTCGTCACTTGTTTAGAAGGAGAAGCCATACTCATGGTTCTTACCCTAGAGGTCACGAGGATATTCGAGCTATTGACTGATCGTCATGAAATTAAACTTTTGCAGGGAACTGCCCCCGGAAATGCGAAAAGTAAAATTTTTTCATTGCTTATTGATTTTTGGAACATTCATTTCAAGCTAGAAATAAAAAAGATATCCAGTTTTTAGTCCTTCTGGGAAAAACTCCCATAAGCGATAGGAATCTCTGGGAAAATCTCCGTATTCGTGCCTGTGGGCTAAAGGTTAAGAATACAGTAAAATAACATTAAGAACCCAGTATTAAACAATGTTTGAATGATTTTAAAGGCAACGGAGAGTTTAAACGCTTTACTGTTTTAAATGAAAAAAGAGAAGTCAAAATAATAATAAAATAAAAATTTAAAACACGGTGATTATGATAATTCACTTGCTCCTCGTTTAAATAAAATCAATAATCGCTTACCATAATAACTGGAGGTAACATTGCTGCATGTAAACGGCTCAACAAAATCTATTTATAGACAATAAATATATGGCTATAAGCAACGCATTTGAAGGTTAGTGACTTAGAATTTTATCGTTTGAAACGGAGTTTTCAGCTGTTTTAAACAGCTGTTCTTCCAGCAATAATTCTCCGTACTATTTAAGGGGGAAAAAATCAGAACGCTTTTTTTCGTCTTTTGTTTATAAATGAAGTCGAGGCCAAGACAAAAAATGTCCGGGTTCTCGTATGTACGGTAAGATCCTTTCCTTAATAAACTAATACTCTGGTTTAATTTAGGCATGCCAGGCCAAACACAGAAATTTTGTAAAATGCAATGTTATTTTCATTTAAATATGCTAAAATTACATTCTTTAAGACATAAAAAAAAAGTTTCGTGCATGAAAAATAATATTTAATTTAAAAAATAAAATGGTGCGTGTATGCACCATTAGACAAACCATTTTAGTTGATAACACTAGTTTTTAATAAATTTTTGTTTTATCGTTTCACGTTAAGTAAGTAACTAAAGTGCTTACTCCGATTGAATTGCGGAAATTTTATCGATGTCTTCTTGATCCATGATAATAGCAGAAAAATAAAATTAGGGAAAAAATATACGCAACAGGGTTAATACAAAAAATATTTATTTAAAGGGTGCGTTTACACATCTTTGGTTGAAAACTGGTTAACGTTGCACTAGCGAGGATGTAAGCATATTCTATGCCAGTTATTCTAAACTTTACGTGGTAACAGAGGGACTAAAAAAATCTTTTTTTTAAAAAAAAATTTAAAAATCTAAACTAGGAATATACCGGTTTTCGGGTCAGCAAAATAACTTGACTACCCCAGGGGTGATTGTGAACCCAAGTCAAAATTCCGGAAAATTTCCTGAGTTAAAAAAAAAAAGCATTTTAAATTGAAAAATTAGAAAAACATTTAAGCAAGGTTTTTTTCTCAATATTTCTTAGTTAACTTAAAATATATATTTAAAATTTTACACATACCTATACCATTTATACATACCTATGATGACCTGGAGAAGTAATTAAAATTTACAAATATGTCTTTCTTTCTTGAGTTTATGATTATAACAACTATTTACTGATAAAAAATTAATATTAATCATGAATATAAGCTTATAAAGTATCTCTCTGGCTCTCCCTTACAAACAAATAAAATAAACTGTGTTTTTAAGTTCCACCTTTGAAAATTTGATTTCCGGAAACTTCTGTGATCAATGCATTTTTGAAACGTCTGGACCTTCAATTTCCGGAAACTTCCGGATCACTGTTAGCAAAAATTCCGGAAATCCAGATTTTTTCCGGAGCACAATCAGCCCTGCTACCCGGTTTTTAATCCTCAGACCAGTCCAATTTTGCTGGGTATCCATTACCGAGTAACACTCATTCATGTTGGACACAAGTTCAGAATTATATTTACCTTAACTATGCACAAAAATAATTTCAGTTTTGAATATCCATGTATTTTATTGATTTCCTAACAATCAAAGCTGAAATAAACAGTTTAGGCACGATATATTTTACTCTTGGGCAGAATTTTAATTCTTAGAAAAGTAGACATCGTTGGGACAAAGAGTTGGTCGCTGAGTTCGCTTAAGAGAGGTATCCGCTTAAGGCAAAAAGGACATGAAATTCGAAAATTTAATGCTGAAATTTATTTTAATAGGATAATTAAAGAAATGTACAATTAGAAACGATGAATTAAAATTATATTTATTTAAAGTTAATAAAATAATATTGAATAAAATTCAAAGATAACTGTATAAAAATGTGATATGCATTTGTATTGTGCAAATCTCATACAAAATTTGCGTTCGGTAGAACGGTCAATGGTTTATGATTATAAGATTTAGTCTGATACCGGAATTTCGTTTTTTTAAACCTCCCGATCATCTTTACTATTTATTGGTGCACGACCCTCTTCACACCAGAGTCTATATTCTAATAAAAGAAATGTCAAGTTCTACAACACTGTATCAGAGATACCAACTTGCAACACTTTCTGGACAATTTTTTCTTCTTCTCCGTAATGATAGCAAACTTGCATATAAAACGCCATTACATTACAGTTATCTTATGATATTTTAAAATTATTAAGTCTAAACAAAACTATGCAAACTTTAGATTTTAATTTTCTACAACTATATTGACCATATTCCTGACTATGTTTCGTGCTCTGAACGTTAGGAGGCAGTATTTGCAGAGGTGGTTCAATTGTATTGATTTCTAATATTTTCCACTTACCTTTCAACTTATTTTTTAACCCCTTCCTTCTCGCTCCTGTGAAAATGATGGGGTGAGGTTTCGCCCTCTATTTCTCGCTCCCGTGAAAATGATGGGGTGAGGTTTCGCCCTCTATTTCTCGCATCCCGTGATATTTCCGCGCTTGAGTGTTCAGTAGTAACGAGCCAATAAGAATAAAACTAATTCATGTCTTTTGCACGGAAAACATTTTATTTCTCATTTTACACACCAGATGGCAGTACCAGGATATTTTTAAGGTAATTGTAGATAGTTTTTAGAAGAAAGTTTGTTACTCCAGAAGAGATGAAAACAATAAGAGATGTAGGAAGGAAACTCTGTACTACTGTCCAGATTGTGACGTTTTCCTCTGTATCTCATGCTTTGAAATTTATTACACAAGAAAAAATTACTAATCTTTATTTATATTATACATAACTTTAATAAAATTCTTTTTTTATGTTTAAAACACAAATTTTTTAAATTTTCCTTGCTTGCTGGAAAACCAACATTAAGTCATAGAATGTTGGCTTTTCCTAAAAATTCACTTCTAAAAAATTTTCAAGCTAAAAACAAATCAAAAATTAATATATATTGTTCATACACATATTTTTATATAATTTTCAGGGATATAAAGATAAACACTTTTATGACCGTTTTCGTGACAATTAACCGATTGTTAAGGGGTTAATTGATTTCGATGGCAAAAAATTAGTTTGCAAGTGGTAGCAGTTGTTCTACTTTTGAATGTACTATACATGTACACTCTAATTTAACTGAATTAAGATGGTTCAATTTCCATGCGACCCATCTCCCCGAATTCAATGGAATAATATATTCTGCTACGACATAGAGGACAACAAAACATCTAGTAGGGTTTGCTTTTCCAGGATAGACGGTGAATAAGATATTTTGGTTATTGGTGAGCCTATCGTTTGACAAGAGAGCACCATAAGGGTGAAAGTACGCCTTAGCTCAGAACTCCACAGATAGATGGCAGCAACACCCCTCAATTTAGACATAGATCTGAGGGGGAAAGAAATTTTTTCCAGATCCCAGTACCCATGGACCTGCTCAGCAACTTATCACAGGACATTTGATTTAACAGATTTTCTGAGCACGTATATCACATGTACTCGGTGGGTCTCAGGGTCAGCTACCACGGTCCCTCAATTTATTTAAATTTTTATTTCTCTATTTCCATAGTAAAATGGAAAAAGACAGTTAAAAATAAACATGACAGATAATTTCTGTACAAAAACAAAATACATTTTCTTTAAAAAAAAATCTGCTTTTTATTATCTATTACTAATAAATAGTACATTAAATTGTCAGTTATAATACACAATAAAATGGGGGGGAAGCATAAATCTTTACTTTGTTTATCTTAAATGCAAAAAAAAATATTAATTTAGATTTTAAAAAATTATGAACTTATATATAAGGCTAAGTAAAAGTATGTGGAGGCATATCTTTGGATTTAGAAGCTAACTAATAATTAATATGCTTTATTAATGCTATGGCAGAAATTTGTATCCATGTTAAAAGAAAAAAAACATCAACTATATTTCAAACAGTATCCCCATTTACCTTAGTTAAAACACTCAAAAAATATTGGGATTTGATAAAAGAAATACAAGTAAGCAATATTAAGGGAGATAAAATTTTATTTATCATTAGAATTTTATCACATTTGGAACAATGAAAACAAGAAAGGTATGTATAAAGAAGAATATGTACAATATGTATATATATGTAAGTGTGAATATAAATTTTCAGTAAATCTGCTGAAAATAGACACTTTTAAAACAAAACAAAATAAATAAATAAACAAGATGATTTGACTCTAAAATTGTCCTAACAAGATTTCATATTTTTTTCTTTAAAAAATGTCTAATACTGCAGGGGCAGGCAAACTCTCCGACACAACCATGAAATATAATGAGTGCAGAAGCAGCAAAATTGTTTTAAGCATAGGCCATTGTTTTCTTCAATACACACTAAAAGGGCTTTTAAGTTACTTGTCCATGAGTGGTAAAAAAACTCAAGGTAAGCTCTTCTTAATGAAATTTCTTCATCTGTTCATACATTATAAAAAACTGAAAAAAGGTTAAGGTGAATAAAGTATGTCATTAAACAGAAAGATAAATAATTTGAAAATTTACAGCAAAAAAAGATTGTCTTTTTCAATACAGATTTCACAGACAAAAAAGCATCAAATGATATTAAATTGCTTTTAAAGTTAGAAAAAAATTAGTCAAGTAAAATGAATTAATATTTAGTTGATCTAAGCTTTTTGTTAATATAAGGATAGTTTATTCTTATCTCGCCCCGCCCTATTTTAGGGCATACGAGAGTTGATACATACACAAATGATACATTAAAAATAGGTAAATCTCTAAAAGTTACATCAACAGTGAATATAAAAATCCGAATATCTAAAATAATGTTCAATACAATTCTATAAAACAAGTTTAAACCAATTAAAATAATAAGGTAGTAAAAAGGTTAAAAAAACAAAATCACCCAAAAACCAATAAATGTTAAAACTTTACAGGAACATGCAAAACAGTGATAAAATATAGAAGTTAAAATTCGATAAAAAGGTTAAAAGGCAGAACAAGTTAAGGATCAAAACAATCAGTTAAAAGTTGATAAAAACAATGCTTGTTAAATTAAAAATTTATAAAAACAATACAAGTTAAAACGTAGAGAAGTTTAAAATGAAATTAGATAGAAACACAAGACACCAGCAATAGTGTTCGCAGGCTCTGAGCATAGTTAAATGTGGTTCAGAATGTCCTCCAATGTTACCTTTATAATTTTTTTAACGATGCTTCTACAGACCAACTTAGCAAAGCATTGAAGCAAATTTCGTCCTGCAAAATGGTTTCCACGGAGTGTCTGGAAGTGTGGGCAGTTCATGATCAAGTGTTCGATTGTCTGATTGTCCCCACAGTAGGTACAATTTGGGTATAAAAATATTTTCAATTTCAAGTAGTTTTATATACATATATACAGGGGTGATTCTGAGGCAAACTCAAAAATTCTGAAATTTTCTTGAGTAAAATCATAAATGGCGCATTTCTAAAATTAATGTCTTTATGAATTTAAATTATCGATATTTTCAAAACTTGAAATTCTAAATAAATTATATCCCGCATAATTAAAATGAATAATTATGAACAAGTTAGCTTGCCTCTTGCTTTCAAACCAAAAATTAATTTTAAAACACTACAAAACCTGCATAAGAAATTTTACAACTGTTTTTAAAACTGGTTTCAATAAACTTTAAAAAAATATATATAATTTCATATAACAAAAGGCAGAAGTGCCAATTAAAAGGTGTCAAAAGATTAAAACATACCAGGATTTTTTTCAAAAACATTTTTAACCAAAATATTTAAAACATGTCTATATTCGTGTATATATTTAATTTATTAGTATATTTAATTTATTATTAGTCATGTATATATTTAATGACTATATTCGTTTTAAATTTCTCTCAAAAAGATGTAAGTAATTAATAGAGTAAAAAAAAATTAATAATAAAATTCATTTTCAACGAAGGTCAGGTCTTGAAATTAACAGTGATCCGTTCGTCCAAGCCAACTATTATTTCACTTGGAGCACCCTAAAGTAATTATCAATACCAGCTCCAGACCAGCATTCAATATAAATTAATGGTATTCTGCTATTTTAGATTTTAAGTTTAGGTGTGCTTTCTTGTAACAAAAAATCACATTTTATCATAATTATGACATAATACATTCTTTGTATAGTAATTTTTCATTTAAATTCACTTTATCTAACGTAATGACATGTAAATGGGACAATGAAAATGTGCAGGGACTAGTAATATCTTTTAGTTATGGACATTTTGGTCCAGTTTCTTAACGTTTACCCCTCAAGATATTTAAGATCTTGCTATAATTCTATTAAAGAAAATAAAAGTTCAGATTCACAAATATTTTTCATTCAAAACTTTTGTATGTGTACTTAAATTTATAAGATAAAATTAATAATGCTTTTATTACATTTAGGAATAATTAGGTCATTAATATAAGAACTAAGTTTAAGGCAGCAAAAGTTAGTGCAGGTATGCTAAAACGTACGTTGTTCAAAAGTAAATTCTCACAGTGAACATTATGTTAAACTACAGAAAGATTTCTTTTTTTAAAAAATTAATTTCAGTTTAACTTTTGCATAATAATTAAACAGATCAATCAAATATACAATTAAAAAGGATACTATAATATTCCAGGGCCCTAACCTGACCCACGTTGGCACAAAGCCTTTATAGAGAGCTAACAGTCCTTCTGTTTGCACAGTCTATAAAAAAAAAATACATATATTAGCCAAGAGAATATAGAAAACATTAAATTAAGTAAATTTAAAAAATACCAACTTAGAATATAATATGTTCATTATTTATATTATATAAAAATACAAACCTACAAATAAAACAAAAGCAATACAAATGTTATTACATTACATATACAGGAAGTTCCACTAATAATATAAGATCATTCTTGCAATAGCACGTTAGAGGCCAAGAGATCACGAAAGCTATACATTTTTGTGAACAACGGCATGATTGTGGCGATGTTGTCAGCATTGTACACAGGCCGCCTCTACTAGACAGACAAACTGGTACCCATCAATTTGAAACCAAGCAGGCTTCAAGCCACCACTGGAAATCCAAACAGAGTTTTTCACAATGACAGTTTAATGCCTTAATCACTGAGCCATCGAGGCTCTACAGGTCTCAATATAGATTTTAAAAATCCTTGCCAAAAAAAAAAAATCATCAACTTACTATTTCAATTTGAAAGAAAAATAATATAATCAAGAGATATATAAAAAATATATATTAAGAAATACCTTGTATAACTATAATAAAAGAGTAATAATTCATAAAATTCTGTTGAAATAAAATTTAAAGCGCAATTAAGAACAAACACTCTGGTGCAGAATTTGGGGTTGTTTTTTGAAGGGTCATGTCACTTCATAAAAAAAAAATTTTAAAAAATTCCATTACTTTATGGAAAGTTTTTAGCTGAATATGCATTACGGTTTAAATTGTTAATTGATTTAGGTTAAATGGTTCATAGCAAGACATGGCTAAAACAGGTCAAACCTAAGGTACAAAATTTGCAATATTATCATACTCAGTATACAAATGGAAGAAAGAGGAGGAAAGATCACCAAGTAACTTTAAGTCTAGAAAATAAATGCAGAGCAAATAAATTCATAAAGCGCTGAATTTAAATCTTGGAAATAAATTAGTAGAAAAAAAATAAATGCAGAGTAATGCTTTGTTCTTACCTTGCATCCAATTGCTCTTTATAAATTGACATAAATAAATAGATTCAGCAAAAAATTAACTGTAAACTGAAATAAATCTTTTTTTTTAAATTACTTTTTTAAGCATGAAATTATTATACATCATTCATCACAAAACCTTTCACTCTTCATAAAAAACTATTTTTGTAAATTGTGTAAAATTTTTCTAGAGCCCAAGCTATGTTTTTAAGAAATAATTTTCAGTGCAATACATATGTTCTTCAAAATAAGTAATCCATATGTAAAATATCCAAACATATTGAAACACAAAAGCACGAAACTAGTAACCATTTGTGTTGTTAATGAATAACTTATTATATAACTTATATAAACGATTAGAATAATTATAGCCTAGGACTAAAAAATTCAACCTTTCAGTAGAAAATTTATGGCTTTTATTTTAATGTATACTTATTACATTCGTTTTTATTAAGAACAAAAGAAAAAAAAACTTACATGGACAGCACAATGAAAAGAACCGGTATATAAGACTTGTGCTTGAGCTTCAGTTCCACTAACAATAGCTGTTCTTAACTTCTTTTGATTCATCAACCGTGTCTAAAACCAAAGAATAATCCTTCATCAATAATGATAGATTACACATTGTTACAAGATTAAACCAGGTGAACCAAAGAATTTCAGTGGCTCAAAAAATCAATGATGGAAAACCCCAAGGATATCAAAAACAGAGTTGAAAAAAATCTCCTGTTTTTATGAATAACAGTTTTTAAATAACATGTTAAAAACTAAATTCAAAGTAATTAAATTATTTAAAAGTATATCAAAAAAAATTTTTTTTAAACAATTGATCAACATTTTGACAAAGAATACTGAAACAAATTCACTTCTGTTCATACATGTGTAAATATGATTTTAAAAAAAGTATTGTAGCTAAAGATTTTGAATGTAATTATAAAAATGTCAGGTTTGATGAAATCTGCTAAAAAAAAAAAAAAAAATTAGAATTACCAAGTTTTAATATTACTTAAAAAGTTTGTAAACAAATGACACTGCCAACTGAGAACGCCAAAACATTGGTTTTAAAATAATTATTTGCAGTAACATGTGAATGCAATCCGAGGATAAAAGTAACAACCCCCTATGCAAATATTTCAGTTGGAATGGACAGACAAGCAGTGAAAATAGATAATAAATAGTTTGTTTTATCTTGTCTGTTCATATTTATGGCTTTTTATAATCATAAAAAAAAACGGTTTTTGTCTTGATGATACACATTTAATATATCAACACATTCTTATGATTTTAAATTATAGTTAATAAAGAAATACAAAATTGTAAGTGGAAAAAATATAATTTTTTTTAATAAAAATTTTATAATAATATCACGATATTATAATAATATATGCATAATTATTTTTAACACATAATATAAATATTTGTTTTTAAAAAAATGACTGTTTAACTATTAAGTAACTCAACAAAAAGAAAATTAGACAAAGAGCAAACTCACTCGAACAACATCGATTGGGGTGGACGCAACTGCTCCAGTTAAGCCAGCAGTAAAACTAGACCTGTGAACATAAAAATACACATTAATTAATCAAGTTACATACTAAAATTAGTATAAAAGGTATTTTAAAGTTTTGTCTCCAATCTAATAAAAAATTCATTAAAATAATCATTCTATACCATTTTTCTTCTTCAGTTAAAATTAAAATTTCGGATTTACAATTGTCAAACATATCAAGTGTTAAGTCTAGTGTTGTTGCAGAGTAATGTTAAAAATCAAAATGCAAAATTATGTAGTTTTTTTTAAATAAAAATAGATAAGAGAAGTCACTTATTTTACAGGTGAGAAAAATATGTTAAGAGTAATTTCCAGACAGATAAAAATTTGAGTTAATTTTTTTTAATCCTGATTAAGGGGAGTTGATCCCATATCATGTGTCACTCTAAATGTGGATGAGGTACACAGATATCACAAAGCTTTATTTTCAGCATTCAGTTTTTCACATTAATTTTTTACTTCAGCTTCAGTTATTCCTGATTAAGCTGCTCAATATTTTTTTTCTAGCTCACGCTGTCTTGTGGGAGATACGCATTCACACTTTTATGCAAGCAGAAATGGAGAACATTCATTATATTCACAATTGATATTACTAATACCTTACTAAAATGTATTTCGTTTCTAACCTAGTTAGTTTAACATATACATCACGGATTTTTTTTTATCCAAAACTTAGTAACTAAAAATTCTTCCTTGACTGCTTCCCTTAGCATTTTTTTTTTGAAGAAAAAAATGCATAAAAATTTGATTTTTTTTTTTATTTCATTAATAAATACAAGGAACTAAAGCAAAACATGATACACAAGTTTTAAGTTGAATTTTTAATTTTTTTTATGTGTAAAAATTATTTAATTTACCATTAGTTTACTATCCTGAGTTATCTCAAGCAAATGAAATAAGTTAAATATTAGTCTTTGTATGACAGTTTTTAAAACAAGGAACAACACAAAGTGATAATTTTTAAAAACACTAGTGAAGTGATGCGCCATTTTTGCTTCTTTTTTTTCCCTATGTAAATTCAGTAACCATCGTATATGCGATCGCACAAAGTGTACAGTCCCACAATCCAACAGCTAAACTCCAAAACAAAATGTGGCAAATTTCCAAACACAGCAGATTATGTTTTGTTTGCTTCCAGCCGAGTAAAAACGTGATAAAATAAAACAAACTGACAAATTCTGCTACGCCCGAGTTTTCTCGAGATAATCAGGAAAGCGGTTAAGAAATAATCAGAAACTTTACTCTTTTCTAGTTGAGAAATTCATTTTAAGTTTAAAATAAGTGGTCGATTTGCATAATTGGACAACCTACACAGAAAAATATAATATGTTTAAACTTTTATAATGTTGATAGAAATTGCTATGTATGTATGTAAATACTTTAATAAGACATATTTGTGTGAATTAACATTTTTAAAAATAAGTATTAAATCAAGTAAAAACTTTAGGTACATCAACTATATGTACCTAAAAAAAGTTTGATATAAAAAAATATAGAAGGACATTTGTTTAAAAAAGAGGAGGAGTAAAATATCTTTTTCAAACACTGCAAAAAAAAGACCTTACTTACACAAAATGTGTAAATATGCCATCTTCCATGACTCCAGACATAATGAGATTCTTTTTTGTGATATCATAAACAGGAAGCTCAACACCAGCACAAACAGCAGCTCTTTGAGCAGTGGGGCAAACTCCCTGGAAAAAAGAAACTTTTTTTTAAAGAGGAAAACACTAAAATTAATAAAATGTTATTCAATTTACATTTGATTAGCTACTTTATTACTGATTAATGCATAAAGGTATGGAATGGAATGATTAACTAAAAATCATTCCCTGATTAATTTTTATGATCATTAAAATAAAAGTAACAAATCATTACAAGATTAAACAAAGCTTTAAAATATTCAAAACTGAAAGAAAAAAAAAGGAAAAAAAACATGCAGGCGCAGTTAAGACATTATCACATTTTTATTACTCTTTTTTGCCCATCCTGGAGATGATATAATATGATTAAAAACATTATTTAGAAGTTTAGCTAATTACTCATTATCATTTAACACCAAATATAATGTTAATGATCATAGCCAATTCATGATAATAAAAATTATTCACAATATCAATTACCAATGTTTTAACATTACTCGAGTTTGAAAAACATGTTTCAAAAGTGTTTTTCAAACTCAAAAACACGTAGTCTGAGATAGATTTGCAAATATTGGTTCAGTAATGACACTTCTCATATCAGTTTTTTTTCTTCTTTTTACTTGGGCCAAACTGACACAAAATATAAAAACCAGCTATTAAAGAATGCTTAGCTCATTTTTGATTCAACAGAGTTTTAAGCCATGAAACATCGCTGATATTATATTTTAAATATTTGATTCTTAAAAAATGGAATCACTACCAGTTTAATTTGCAACAATGCATGGTGGTTAAGCAATATGAAAAATTCGTTTTTGGCACACCCCTTTCAAATATATGATAAGAGCAGCAAATTTTAAGATGAGAGGTTAAAAGTGTTCAAATTTTTAGAACCTTAAAACAAATGGTTCTAAAGTTATAATAAAGAGAGACACATAAACCCCTTTTTATTTTCATAGATAATTCAAAGTGGCACAATGACAACTAAATTTAGCTAATGAAAGCACAAACTCTAAGGTTGAATGTAATTAAATTTGGAAAGCACTAAGTTATTTATGCTCAGACTAGCTTTGTGAAGGATATTAATTTAACTCAAAATTAGACTTGGGAAAAAAATATTTCATTAATAATAATGGGTAGATTTAAGAAATATTAACAAACAACAAATTAAAAAAATATATAAAATGGATAGTTCATTTTTTTTTTCATAAAATGAACAAAATATAAATTTTATTAAAAAAGTTAATCAAATCTCATTGTACTACTAGAAGAATTTCTATAAAAAATAGCAAAAAATGACAAAATATTTTATAGCAATTCAGATTTTTGACATGCTTTTAATTTTCTTTTACTTGTAATGTGAATAATCTATTAGCAGGAATTAATGTAATAAATTCAACTAATTATTAAAGATTGCAAAATCCATATTTTTTTACACCCCATTTTTAGTGCTTCAAGCTCTTTTTGCTGGTTATTACTTTGCTTTTAATTTTTTTCAAGCAAACTATTTTTTAGCGGAATACTCACTTTTAAAATTTACATAATTATTTAAATGAACTCTAAAATATAGTGTTTTAAGAATACCTTGAGACAGAACATATTATCAAACTTCAGAAGTTTATCACAGATTTTATATTTTTTTAATCAATTAATACTAAAAAGATATTAAAGCATATGTTTGTTAAACTCCAACACAAAATACTCCGAAATTATTCAAAGGATGGTGAGTTATACATAGTTGTAACCCTTAGATTACAATTAAAATCAACAAAGAATAAGCCTAAACTTACAGAACTCTTCTCCTTACAGTTAAAATTTTCAATCACACATCATACAACTCCGGTAGTATGATGATTGATTAAATGATTGCAGTTTTATTGGCAAGAGAGACAGTATTGGTTATACTTATAAATATGAAATATCACAAGCGTTTGTTATTAACTATAGCATTATCTTTGGAAATAATAAACTTTACTAAGCTAGACTTTTATTCAAAATGGTAGAAATTCGATAAGCAAAAATTACTTACACGCCAAAGTCCTTTTAAACCTTCACTAGAATATATATCTAAAAAGCACCTGAACATCCCTTTCTCAGCATAAGCCTTGTTTTCTGCTTGAAGACGAACCTAAAGAATCAAATTGATTTAAAAGATAAGTAACTCTTAGTAATAACATCTTACAATTTCCTAATAATGAAGCATTGTATCTTTCACTTTGAAAAACTTACTGCAATTTAAATATTAGCACAAAATATTTTAGATCTAAATAATGTGAATTATTGAAAAGGGAAAATAGTATAAAGATTGCATACATGGCTACCAGGAAGCGCTTTACAATGTCTTAAGTGGCAGCAAAATAATAATTAAAATAATTTAAGGTTGTTTAATTTTGTTATTATTATAAAACTTGACTGGTATTAATGTTATAAATTAGAGTTCGGGCAAAAATAATACAAATCTTAATTTCAAAGCTTATGTAGTACTAAACATGGTACAGGGTGTCCATTGAGAAGAAATTTTTAAATTCCCTGATATTTTTTCGTAAAAAAAAAAAGATTTCCCCCTGTATCAAAAATTATTTTTAATAAGGAATTTTATTAGATAAAATATACATTATTATTTAAAGCAAATAATGAATCAGAGTAAAATCAAATAATAAGATAAATGACAAATTGATATGGGCTTAAATCTCATTAAACGATATGTAACGTAACAACAGCCAAATAAGCAATTGGAATTTAATGCAAATTTGAGATGGAATAGTCGCGAATCGAGCATGTGAGAAAATTATTACTTGAATACAAAATTCGATAACCACAACATCATATTGAAAACATCAGAATTTAAAAGAATCATATAGAAATAGTCGAAAAAGAGACAAATGTCTGACAAAAAAATTATCCATAAATGATGTAGATATAAGATAGAATCGTTGCGAGCTGAGTGAAACAAACGTGACCTCCTAAGTTTTACATGCATACTTTTAAATATCGTAGAAAGAATATCAAATTTAGAATAAAAAAGTGGAAATGGTCGAAAATACTATGAATAATTGATGAAGAAATTATCAATATATGGAAAATTTGGTAAGTGAAGTATCGCTCAAGGATTGAACCATTCATTGAGCGCTAGTTGTTTTAAAACTTTTCTTTGCTTTACTAAAGTTTTGAGAAACTCACGATATTTTCAGAATCAGAAAATTGCCAGTTTTCCCTATTGCTGCACACCCTGTAGTACTACACACAGCCAGTGTATAATACTAAATAATTAGAAAAAAATAATTTTAGCCTATTTTAAATTTTAACTACTATCACATCATAGATATAAAATCATCTGAATCTATATTACCTTTAAGACATCAGTAGGATTAGCTATTGAAGCACCTATAACTCCAGCAGTAACTCCGCACAAAACATTTTTAAATAAAGTTTCCTCTAAAAAAAATAAACAAACACAAAGGTTAAGTTAGGAAATGGAAAGAAAGTTATAACTTACAGAAAATATAGAGCAATAACAAATAATGTTTACACATACAGGGTGATCTAAAAGTACAAAAATAGTCAAAATATCTCAAGAACTATGCTCTAAATAAAAAAGTAACACTATATAAAAATATTTTCAAATACCAAACTTAATCAACCAACCTGACTCCTGGGAGTGTATTGCATTCTTCATTGCAGATTTGGACTTTCAATAAAAACTAATTTGACTAGAAATGGTGCTGTATATCAAAATAAAAATGGGACCTTGAAAAACACATGTTAGATTAAAAAAAATAGACTTTGATATTTTGAAATATTCATCCAATAACACCCAATGACTCCCACTCCCAAACTCAGTTTCATGGCATGGGAGTCTCCTCAGTTGGTGGTGAGGTGTGTCAGTGGGTTGCTTTTTCAAATTTCAAATTATTTTTTTCAATCTGACATGTATTTCTCAAGACATAAATTTCCAATAGTTTCTAGCCTATTTTCATTATGTGATTACTGCCTTATATGTGAACGAAAATGCAACAATTTGTGAGTCAAATTGGGATGCTTTTCTTTGTTGGAGAATCCAAATCTGCAATAAAAAATGGGGCTTCCGATTTAAGACTGGAAATCTTAACAGATTCAAGTAAAAATATATTTTGAAAATATTTCACATGGGTTAATTTTTAAATATTTGAGTTTTCATACTTTTAAATATTCAGTACATGCACATCAACTTTGGGAAATATATATTACATATTTCCTAACAACTTCATAAAAATTTTAAACAAATTTACTTATAAAAAAAACAATCAATAAAAAATTTTCATATTACAAATATTAACTATAAATTGATCAGTAATAAGACTAAATGCAGAATTTCTTAGCACTAAAGTCAGAACTTGCTATTCTAAGCAAAAATTAAATAGCAAAGTCAGTGTTTAAAACCACATCATACATGAAACTAGGACCACTGAAGATCGTTATCACTGTTTTTCTTTTATGAGAATGTTTAAAAAAACAACAACACATTTTTTAATAATGTTTGAAAAATATCATGTAAGTGTACAGGTACTTACCATGAGGGTGATTAATTAAAATTCCTTTTAATGAATAATAAATGCCAATCTTTATTGTGCCATAAGTAGCTTGCCGCAAAAGAGCAGGCTTAATTCTAAAAAAAGAAACAGGAATTTCAATTTGAGGCATATAAATGAAAAATAAAATTTAACAGAGAGCAGTTATAATAAAAAAGAAGCATATATTAGAATAGAGTAATTGTTATACAAGAATGAATTATTAATGAAACAGGAGTGATAGATAGAAGAGGATGGGTAGCTTATGTATACTTACCCTTCCATTTTACCTGAGCATGGAAATGTGTAGGATCTATCATGTTCACATAAGATAAATTTCTGTACAATGAAATTACACTTAGAAAACATGTATCTTCAGAAACATTTGCATATTTCATTAATTTGAAAATAATTAAATAAAAATGCATATTTTGTAAGATTTCTTAAGTAACTAACTGACATTAAGAGAAAATTTGAAATAATTTAAAAATAAAAATTTAAATATTTTAATTGTAAATAGGTTTTAAAAGGCTTCAAATTATAATTTAAGTTTGAAGCACATTTTTAATTCAATTTAAACACACATTTCAACTTAAATCTTATACTTAATTTTGGAAAGATAAATGCTTGGCAATTGGCAGACATTTTTAAGAACTAATTAGTCAGTCTTTTACCAGCATTTAATTACTTTAATTTAAAACAGACTAGTACTTAATGGAAAGAGAAAATCAGATTCAATGACAATTACAATGTAAATGGATATATCCATTTTTGGAAAAGTTGATATGTATATATTGTAAATGGCAGAATTGTATAATAAATCAAAATTAAAATGTCAATCAATTGCCAGTAGAAGTATTTAAGAAGAAAAAAAAACACTTTTTAAACTTATTTATAAAACCTTAAATTAAAAATTACTCAGTCGCTAATATTTTAATTAACTAATGGTTAAATAATTACCAATTTAAAATTCTGTAAAAGCAAATGAAATTTATACTTCTATGTGTTTCAGTAAAATAGTATTTTCTAAAATTGAGTAACATAAATTTCTCTAATGTTTATTTGTAAAATGGCATTCATAAAAGTTTGTTTTTAATTTTTAGAATAGTTTCAGCAACAACAAAAAAAAAACTTTTAATTTTTATGCTTCATATTCATTTTGCTTATTTAACATTAATTATGAAATAATTTTTCTAAAAAATATGCCGGCTTTAATAGTTACAACAAATTAGTGTTTCCACATATAGAGGAAATTATTTAATTATGCCTTTTTGAATATAAAATCACTATTTTTATACAATAAGAGCAGTATTTCTTGTTTAAACTCAGTAGGAAATAATTGAGCTTTAAATATATTACACTACAACTAATGTTTTGATTTTTAAAAAAATACTACATTTTATACATAACAGCTCAATCTTGTTAATACATTTTTTAAGGCCAGGAAAATATATTTCAGGAATACTACAATTTGCATTAAAAGCAAAGTTAATTTAAGGCATAATTTCTGACAATATAAAATGGAAAAACTTTTTAAATAACAGCAATTTAAAAATAAATAATAATTTTATAATGTTCATAATTTCATCCAAAATATAATCACTTCCTATATAATTTTTATTTATTGTTGCTTTATAGATAATCAAGTTCACACGTTATTGAACTAAAAAATTTCTTACTCGAACAAAAAATATTTAAAATGCTGTTATTCAATAGATATTATGCTTATTATAGTTAATATAAATTTTGCACGATAATTATATGGCAATATTGTCAAAACCACTGATTATAATTTGTCAAAGTATAAGGAATCTATATTCTAAATAAAGTTTAGATTTTGACATAAAGTAATGCTATGAAATAGGAAAATATTCTGAACAAATTTTTGAAACATCTATTAAGCTTTTTAAAAATATATTTTTTATGTCACTCTTATTACATTTAACAATTTTTAAAATGCATATAAGTTATAATTTACAAAACTAAATACAAAATTGCAACTATAATTTAAAAAAAAAAAAAAACACGAAAACAAATTACATAGAGGGAAAAAAACTTATTATATTTTAAAAAATTTATTTTCGATTTACAAAAAAATGGCTTTTAGACAAAATTAGACTATTTTAGCAATTAAAATAAATGAAATAAATGTGCAGTAATTTTATTTTAATGCTAAAAGTGCAAACATATATTAAAAAAGCTGTCAGATAAGGTGTGGTAGAAAATAACAAGTGCAATACAAAAAAGCTTTGAAAAAAAAGAAGCAAAGACTGAGTTACAATAATAAGAAAAATACTTAAGACCTAACCAAAAATATTGTATGTTGACATAATTGTAGATAAAATAGAAGTTGTTCCATTGAAAATAATTTTCCAACTGTAACTTTTTGAAGAAAAAAAAACTAAAAATTTTTTTTAGCTGATAACTTATTAGATTCTTCCCCCCAAATATTGAAATTAGATTTGAAAGAATGAAACAAAATTTGCTGAGAATTAAACAAAACAAACACTCAAATGAAATCTCAAAAGTTTTTTTTCTTCAGAAACTCCCCTCAAGTTGCCAATTTTTAAAATACTGTATTAAACATTTAAATATTTTACTTTAAACATTTATATCATAAAATTGGATGGAAAAGAAATGGGGACATTTTAAATTGGTTAATTTTGAAAAATCAAGAAATGACTTAGAACTTGAAGAGAATACAGAGATCTTTAAAGATAAAATTTTTAATCCAATTGAAAAAATATTAATGTAAGAAAAACCAAGGATCTAAACAGCAATTATACTTGAATTATTATATAGTGAAATTAATAATTTTTAGTATCTTTTCAAAAATATGCTAGAATGATAGTTATTGGATAGTAGCGTGTGAGTGTATTTTAAATTAGAACTTTAAAATAATTTTAAAACCAGTATGGCAGTTTGCTTTTTAATTAAAGATTCTGAGTCAGAAAAGTTATTGAGATCAGAATTTTAATCAGGATTTAAATCAGGATTGGAATTTTTTCAGGAAAGAAAATTAAATATTTTTCCAGTGGAAAAAAAATGGAAGAAACTAAAACTCACCAATACAATTGTTTAACAATAAGTAATAAAAAAAATTCACATTTAAAACAATTAAAATTTAATATAATACAAAAATTTCAAAAAAATCCTATTTAATTTTTATTAAAAAAAAAAACTATTTTCACATTTTTTACAGAAATTCAAAATCTACATAACCTATTATAATTATTTATTTTACATTTTGCTTTATGCTATCCCTATTTTTATACATAAATATGTACATTTACATTACTAGATAGAATACATATTTTGGTATTATTTTCAGTTTAATGAATATTATGTATAAGGATATAATTATCTGGAAAATAAAAAAATAAAAATTACTTAGAATAGTTATTACTTGGTTAAATTTTTTTCATTTGATTACTTTCTCATTTTTTTAACTCAATGTATTTTTTATATTAGATATTAAGCTGTATTTACTTTAAAAAAAAAAGACTTGTTTATTTAACAATAAAGTAAAAATCAGTTTTTTGCCCTAGACTTATATTATCATATGTAAAGCTATCATATATTGAGCTAGGTATTTTCTTTGGCTGTATCATTTTTATTTGAAAACATAGAAGCTTTTTTTTTTTTAAAAATAAATAAATATTCTATAAATGAAAATGCCATTAAAAATATTCATGACTTAAAATTAAAGTTCATGTGATTTATGAATAAAAATTTTTAAAAATCCGCAAGTTTATTAAAAATAACTATTGATAAATACCTAGAGCATACTATTCAAGAATTATTTTTAGTACTACCCCTCAACAGCATTTGATTATTAACTTAGTACAATTTTTTGAATTATATTAATACAATAGGTGATTTGCTGTATAATAACAATAATAAATAATTTGAGTAAGATATTTTAAAAGATCTAAGAATGATTTAATAAAAGTTTTACTTTACTCCTTTATATAATGCATTGAAAGAAATTGTAATTCTTAATAATTTCTCAGAAATTCATCAAGTTTATTTTTCTTTTAAATTTCAGATATTTTATTTTCATTTATTTAAAAATAGCATATCGAATTAGGTGAAATAGTACTATTATATAAACTAGACTGTAATTACAAACTGTTTAAAAGTTAAATTCAATACTTGATATTTTTTATTAAAAAGAGTCTTTAAAATTCAATTTTTTAGATTAGAATAAACCTATTTTTTCAAAGGCAGTTTTTCACACAGAGGAAAAAACTCAACATCCCTAAACATAGCTCTATAGTTGTACATCTAAACATAGTAAAACATTTATTGTGGTACATAACCTGTAAGAAATTTGACCTGTTGATAAAAAAAAATTTTAAAAATTTTATGTGAACTTTATTATGAACTAAAAAATTTTGGACTCAAGTATTAGAGAAACATAATTTTTCGGAAAATTCACATTTTATGTAAAAAGCCATTAATATATCATAAGTTAGTTAATCACATATAAACAAATATAATCAGACATAACATTCTTACTCAATAATAACTTAGTAATTTACCCTATCACACAGTTAAGAGAGTAATGATGATATTTACACTTTAACTGGACGATTTCTTGAAGATCAGGTTACACACGGGGCAAAGCGAGTGGTGACCGCATGTGTTGACCTAACCTAACAGACACAAGATACAGCACTAGGTGGTGATTCAAAGAACAAAGAATTGGAGCCGTTTTGGAACAAAATTATATATATTTACAACAAGGAGATAACCATTTGATATACAAACTACAAAATGTAATGACAACTTAATTATTGCCACAAATGTAATAGCAGTAAATTACTTTAATGAACAACACAATAATTAAAGAATGAAGTTTAAAAATTTTGAAATAATCAAATGATTATCTTAACAATTTTAAACCATAGATTTGTATATACTAGTTAAGTACACAGGATCTCAATTGTGACAATTTAAAGTTTAAGAAACAAAAATCCAAGTCACTCTAAATTAATAAATTTACAGCTAATATGATGAAGAAAAAAATAAATTTAAATCGTATAAGAGTTTAATGCAAAGTTATTTTGATAAAGTAGAACTTATTTTTAAAAAAGAAAAAAAAATGGAGATTTTATTTCTTTTCTTTAACAAAAAGAGATTCAGATAAATTGTAAAAGACTAATTTATTAAAAGACAAATGCATACAAACCATCTTGTTTTTTACTAACAATGCCAGGTTATGATAATCTTAATGCACTTTCTTGTATTTGAAAAGTTAATAGAATTACAAAATTTACTATTACAAAATACTGCGACAAAAATTTTAATTCCTGTAACTTAACGAAATATTACAGCCAGAAATACTTTATTCCCCCTTTATAGAGATGGCATGAGGGGATAAAAAAACAAGATGGACTTTGTTTTCTTAAAAAAAAATCATTAACAAAAATTTTATCAAACCAGAAAAATTATTCTAAAATCTAATTGGAAAAGGGAAAAATTTTTGTATCAAAATTAAAGAATGAGATTAAAAAATAAATGAGCTTCATAATTAATAAATTTTATTCAGTTTAACAAAATCATTTAGAGAATTTAAAATGCTGTGTATGTTCCAGAATAGAAGTAGATGCTACATTTATCTGAATTTAAGGAAAGCATATTCTCTCTGTGTTCGCATTCTAAATGTGTTTATTTAAAAAGTACAACAGAAATTCTTTCAGTACAAAAAAAAAAAAACAAAAAAAAAATGCGTTCTGTAACTTGTTAAAAAATATTTTCATGCGATGAAATCGGTACAATAAGTTTCATTCTAAAGAAATATTTAAAATGACATTTTTTCAACGCAAGACAATGTTTAAACCATAAAATTTAATGCAGTCATTTTGATTGTTTTTGCAACTGAAATTTTAATCCTATTTTCAAATCAATAAATAAAAAGTAAATTTTTAACTTATATCCTGTTACTGTTCACTATTACCATTACTTAAATTTTTTTTAAACATAATAGTAAAAATAAAAACCCTTGAAAAATAGACAATTTCCGAGAAATAAACTTTACAATTGAGAAGCCAACATTATAGTAAAAAAGCTAAAAATAATTAAATTTCGAAGATCTCAGACATATAAGTTTGAAGGTAAAATTCAATGGCATTGGTAATAATAATTACAGAACAGTCAAGAAATTAATTTAAAACATCAAACAATAAAAAAAAAAATTTAAAAGCAATTTTTAAAAAATTACTATGTAGCAGTAGCTATTGTGTTACCAAGCTGCTATTAAAATGAAGAAATAATTAAATTTTAAACTAGCTATGTAATTTCAAATAAAAAGTTCAAAACTATCAATAATTTCATAAATAAAAATTTAAATAATCATGCAGTAATCTAGACAAAAAATAAAAATATAATGGCAAAAATATTATATGTTCCTATACTATAGTATATCCCAACATAAAAGTATAAATGTTACAATATAAAGAAAAATTAAATGCTCCAATAAAATGTCATAAAATTTTTTTTTATGTGTTTGCCTTAATTCTAAATAAAGAAAATATCATGAATTCAATAATTTAAGCGATAACAGTAATTTCATCACAAATCAGAAATTTTATGCTGCGCTTTTTTTAAGGGAAAAAAAAGATTAAAAAATTTTACATTTTTTTAACAACTTATGATAATTTGAAATGAGCATGTTAGATTTAATTTTATGAACATTTAATTTTCATCTTCATGTCAACATAATAAATAATACAAGTTTTGAAGATAAAATATTAAAAATTCCAGGTTGAAAAACAATTTAAAAGGTTGGGTAACACTGGTATAAGGAAATTATTCAATTGAAAAGTGCAAAACATTAGTGCAATTAATTATTAAGCAGTTCAAATATTAATTGCTAAAAATGTAAGATACTCAGATTATAGCAAAATAAATATTTATATTAACCCTCCAAGCATTTCAATTAAATTTTTCTTTTGACATTCATACAAACTGTTTCCTAATTTTTGTAAGAAAAATAATTTCTTTTCCCTTTTCCGAGGAGCTCAATACTTGGAAGATTAAATTTTTTTACTAATGAATAACAAAGTAAAAGAAAGACATTTTAAATTTTCATTAAGAAAAATCAACAAAACAATTCAAAACAGAATATAAAACTATGAAAATAATTATTTACCAACCCTGAATATAAAGCTTGAATTCCCTCTTCTTTTGAAATACGGAAGAGAGCATGAAACATGCCCCTGTACTTTATTTCCTTAAATCTAACATCAGATACTTGACCTTGTACTTGAAGTCTAATTTTTGTAGTGTCAATCGGAAATGTCCCTATAATGCCAGAAAAATTAATCAACTTTAAAATAGAAAAAGAAGAAAGACATGAAATTTCAAATCAATTACCATACAGATTAATTAACATGAAAAGAGCAAATAAAAATAAAATTTTTAAGACCATTTTTAACATAAAATATTTTAAAACATACATGGACACTTAACCAAAACGTTACAAACGGAGCATGATTGGTCACATAATCTAGCGCAGAAGAACTCAACAAGGTAGATTTTTGCCGCACATAAACTTGACCAAACGTGCTTCACTGGAAAATGGAATATTTTTAATTCATTTTATAATAGAGGGTATATCACTGAATCGGCTAAGTACCAATAAAAGTAAAATGCCAACATTTATTTACAAAGCAAAATATACATTTACAAACAATGAATTAAAAAGTTTGTTACAGTTACATGGAGTTAACAAAATGTCATTAAGTAAATACTAGAACTAATATAGACGGTTTTTACCGGTTATAACCAGTTTCTGCCACTGGCATGGCAAAAACCAGTTTCTGCCAGCAAAAAGCCAACCCTGTTGCCAATGCTAAAATATAATTTTGGAAAACTCATAGAACAAAATTTATTTTTTAAAAACTTTTTTTTCCCAATATGTAGCTTATCATACATAGATGCCAAACATATAAAAATCTCAATTTTGAATTTTTTGTTGCTCACGTTGGTTTTTCAATGCATGGCAAAGTAAAGGCAGTTTCAATATTTAGACACTGATAAACTGGAACAACTCCAGGAAATATTTACAAAAGTTTAATATTGTAACACATATATAAAGCCATTAACATTGTGTGCAATATTCATAATTATAAAAGTTTAGCAAGTGATTATATTTACGTAAGTTTAAATAGTAGAAACTAGAAAAAACTAGCCAAACTTGTCCTAACCATATCAATTAATATATATTACCTTAAAAATAAGGTTTTATATGATTATGCAAGAAAATCAATTTCAGATCAAACACATTAGATACATGATTGATGCATTTAAAATAAAAATAAAAATTTAAAACATAATCTGCATAATTTTCCGAATAATTTAGTTTTAAATACATAACATAAATAAATACTAGAACATAAACTTCTTATGTTCATTAATTATTTAACTTTTACCAGAAAAAGACATGAATTTTTAGATTCACATAATATTCATAATGTTAATAACTAGTAAAAAGCTATTTACTATTAAAAGTCTATTTTAATCACAGTTACTATTATACTTAGTATCAAATTTAAAAATTAATCAAAAGCAATTATAACATTTTATTATTAGTTTAATAACCTTAAATTACTTAAATAAAAAAAATTAGAGTTGAACAATTAAACAAAAAGGCAATACGAATCATTTTGTCAATGGAGAACTTACCAAATTCCGCTGCAATCGATGCAAGTCCTCCATATGCAAAAGGACGCCAATCTTTCTTGGTCATACTCCTATAGAACTTCTTTCTTAAAAAATATCAAACTTTTTGCTTCTCACAATGAACTTGAGTTGAAATAATAGTATCAGTTATTCTAAAATAAAGAAGTAAAAGATTAGTTAACTTTAATCCTTTCAATATTTTGTACCACAATCAGTACATGAAAATAATAACAAGAATCAAATAACTTTGAATGTACATTAAGAACATTAACATCATAAATTACACATTAAAACTTGAACCTGATGGTATAATAAATCAATAGGGCCCAAAACCTTGGCACAAGCTAAGTGGCCAACAATCGACAATCAATATTGATGAATATTATATTGATTGTCGATTGTTGGCCACTTAATCAATATTGATGAATATTATATAACAATCTATATTGATGAATAATTTTTTATGTTCACTACTTTTAAAAATTGATTGTCAACAAAGTTTAAAAAAAAAGGTGGGCATAACTCTAAACACAAATTTTTTTTTTTAAGATAATAAGTGAAGTAATGTATAAAAATTTAAACATAGAAATTACTATAGGGATTTTTTAGGTACATACATATTTTTTGCAAATTAATGAGCATAAAATTTGCATAAAGACCCAATTTCAGCACAGCCATGCCTTAACAAACATTTAACTGTACAATCTAGAACAATAATAACTAGAATATGATATCAAGGATAAAATAGTATATCGGAAACTTATTTTAATAAAATAAATGCCCAAAACCATTAAAAAGCATCAAATCAAACGGGTAACGAGCCTCTAATCATATTACAAATATTATATATAAGACACTAAAATCCATGAATAATAACGTTTTATATTTTAAATGTACTCAAATACTTCAGAAGTTTATTTAATTGGCATTTAAAGCAGCTATCCAGATTTTAGCATCTGGTCTTGTTAGCATAAAAGTTATAATACCAATAATAACGTTAAAATACCTAAAAAAATTTCCATAAGAAATTTATCTTTAAAATAGTATATGGAAATAACAATAACGAATTTAATCGGCAAAGTAAATTTATAAAGCGAAATGTCAAATTAAATAAAGCAGTTTTGACACCGGTATATGCAAGTAATTAATAACCTGTAACAACTTTAAGACATACCTCTGGAACTTAAAAAGGTCATTTATAGGTTAAAAGGTTTCTCCAGCCTTTCAAATAAACAATTAAATTTAAGTTATTTATTTCTTTAAAGAGATGCGTATTGTAATCCCTTCAACAACAAAACTTGTCACTTGTCCCAGCATGCAAGAGATGAAAAACGTTGTGAGTTACAGTTACGAGTGCAGACAGAAAAATGAACTAATCCATTTGTAACACCAAGGTTCAGATAACGATGTCGTAATCTTAATTTTATCTTTTGCGTTTCTTTTATCGTCAAATAAAATTAATAAAATTTCTTTGAAGATTCTATATCTTTCCTTCAAATTGCGATAAGATAATAGAAAAGTTGTAAAAGAATTTCGGGTTAAAGAAATATATAAATATAATTTATTAATGGTATGAGATTTTTCTTTAATGATTAAATTAATGAGAATTAAAAAAAAAAAATTCTAAAGTCAGGAATGGATGTAGGGAAATGGATAAGCTGCTGGGCATTGATCGTAACATAATGAATAAATAAATATAAGTAAATAAAATAAATAAAAATAAAATAAACGCCTTTAATAGATATCTCTCAAAATTACTTGGAAAAAATAAAAAACACACATTAATATGGTTACATTGATATTTAACCGAACAAAAAAAGGACTCTAAAAATCATTGCTATCGAACGGGAGTAAAATAAAATTGTACGAAGAGATGGAGAAAAGTTGAAAGTTGGTTATTAGAATCACCTTCACCTCTGATGTTTTTAATCCCGCCTCCCTTTAATGAGATTTTTTAGAGTTTTTCTTTATTCCTTGCCGAAATGTTAAGTTGCGACCTCTAAAGTGTTTTCTTTTACTCCATTTATTTCAAGTATTTTTTTTTTTTTTAAAGTTAATAACAGTGATTATGGAACACTCTGTATGTATCATGTATGCAAGTTTTGTTTGCAGCGATGTGGAACAAATTTGACAAGAATGCACCCAACTTCTTATAATAGAGTGATTTTTTTTTAAAACTTTTTTTCACCTTTAAAATTAAAAACTTTTTCAACTTTTTCTTATGTATCATAATTCGAAAAATATGTTGGAATGAGTATAAGTATTTATAACAACGTAGCATTCGTACAAAAACAAAAATGTATTTAGAAAGAAGCAGTGAGAAAATCTGCGATCTCATCTTTAACTTAAGTGTCATTGTCAATTTTAATGGTTCTATTCGAAGAGTTAACGTCAAATGTTCTTATTAATTTGTGTTAATAATTAAATTATGGAATCAGATAAAAAGAATAGTCATGCTTTTCTTTCAATGGAATAGGATTTTTCACTATCAGAATATAATGGTCAACGGCCGTCGCAATCTGCAAAATACGACAGTATAAAAACATTTCTATTTATTTTTGTTGTAAATAATCCTCTTCATTTACGACAATTTTAATAAATCACTTTGAATTTTGAAAAATATATGTATTAAGAAGAACCTTTCATTTCGCATATGATAGCGATGAGCACAATTCTTATGACTTTTCTTGTCTAAAATTTTGTTTCTAATTTTTCAGTTAAAAAAGGCTTCCAACTTATAAAAACGACTAAACAAATAAATCTGTTTAGACAAATAAATTATAGTAATTTAAAATTTTAGTTCGTGTTTCTGATTCCAATAATTCTTGGTCAGATTTTAAAAACATACTTTTTTTTCCGCATTTAAATTCGAATGTATGACCATCAGAGCGCAAAGATTTTGTATTTTTTTAAAAACAGGGTGTTCCGTTACGACTGCCTTTAATATGCATTTTCAGAAACTCTATCAAAAATAAAAGAAAAAAAAACATACACATTGAGGGGGGCGGGGTCGTAAATTAATATTTAAGATAGGAAAAACAAAGAAGTTATCGAAATCTGAGAAATCACAATGAAGGACGACGAATGTAATGAACATCAAGACAGTTTTGATTGCTCTAGGACAGTGTTTCCTAAACTTATGACTTTTGTGTACCCTTTCTAAATTTTTTGTAACGCTGCGTACCACTAATTTTTTGAAATTTTCTTTTGTTGCAAGATATTTCGCATAAGAAAGCGTACCCCAATTAAACTGTTCCCGTACCCCTGGGGGTACGCGTACCACACTTTGGGAAACACTGCTCTAGGACGAAGGAAAAAGACAGGAATTGAAAGCAAACACCTTCAAGTTTCAACTTCTAATTAAACAAATTGTGATGTTTATTAAATAAGCGTTCTTTTCGTGAAATCTGTGAAATTTCTATATATTTTTTTCACCGCTTCAATATCAATTTGAGGATCCTAATGTGTTTGCTTTTTGGGTTTTTATTTTTGATAAGAATTCTAAAAATACATACAAAGGGCGGTTTTTACGAAACATCCTGTAAATTAAGGGAGCACATTTCAGTTGCATCTAACGGATGGAATTTATTTATGCTATTTTTGATTTAATTTTTTCCCCTTTTAGTGGTGAACAATTTAAGACACAAGTTGATACTGGTATTTTGATAGATTCAAACAAAAAGTTAAAACTATTAGCAATATATTTATCTCGTCATAAACTGTTTTCACTTTCAATCAACAAACAGAGTTGTGTAACGCACAACACATACGAATCTTCAAACTTGCATCGCGATTTCCAGGAAATCTTATTTTTCGACATCATTCCAGCATAAACTATCCATTNTTTATTACTTGTTATAAAACAGAAACAAATGCATAAACTTAATCTAATATACATATAAATAACTAGAAAAAAATTTCATCTCAATAGGATGAAAACAAAGTCGACTGGAACATTTTGAATACGTGAAACATAACAAAATTTCAATTTTGAGAAAAACAGCTTTTTGTGTAAGAAAAGGGGCGTGGCTTCATAATGTGAAAACGAAACTACCCTATAACTTCTCAAAAAATGACGAAATTTAAAAAAAAAATTCAGTTGAAAAAGCAATGAAACAAGTGTAACTAAATATGTAAAAAAAAAATCGAAATTTTTATCAATTTTTGGCAATATAAAGGTCCACTGTAGCCTTAATGGCGAACAATTTAAGATACAAGTTGATACTGGTATTTTGATAGATTCAAACAAAAAGTTGAAACTATTAGCAATATACCTATTTATCTCGTCATAAACTGTTTTCACTTTCAATCAACAAACAGAGTTGCGCAACGCACAACGCATAGGAATCTTCAAACTTATATCGCGATTTCCAGGAAATATTTTTCGACATCATTCCAGCATAAACTATCCACTCTTTTTTTCTTTTGTTTTGATAAGATTATATTATAGATAATCGAATTGGTTAAAAACTGTAGCTTAGAGGTTAGAATTTAATGTAATATATTTATTTCAAGCATTTCTTAAAATCTTCATAAGTTTGTTTGTTTTTTAATAAAAGTTGAAGCTTATAAAAATTAAAAAGTAAGGTTAAGGTATCAAAGAAAGAAGATCTGTAATGATCTAAATTGTAGATAATTCTATTATCTATATTGCTACAAAATTATATTATCTATAATCTGATAAAATAAATTGGACTTAAATGTTATAAGATATCGGTGGAGCAATGCTGAAAAATATGGTTTTCTAGAAAACACGATTTAAATTTGAACATTCTTTAATGCACAATGTTTCTCATCTTTGTATTCGCTACCGTAACAAATCGTAAAATTCTAATTCGAAAAATAATCTATAATTTCAGGAGCTGCAAGCTTTCACAGATTGGAAATTTTTTAAAAAATCAGTTTCGCGAAAAATTTTTAGGAAAGTGTCTTTACAAATAACTCATGTCTATATTAACCAATTCGACTTAATCACAATAAAATTTTAAAATTAGTTGTTTACAATCCTATGAAAAAAGGAAAAATGATGTAAATTAGTGACCTCTTATAAGATTCGGTTATAAAATGAAAAAAATTTCTTTAGCGTCTAATGACAGAATGAAAGAGAAGAGCACAGAGACACAGAAGAAAATTACGAACATGTTACAACAAGGAAAATGCATTATTCCAAAATTATTTTTAACATTAAAATTGGCTCTTTTTAGTCTCCTTTAAAGCGATTACATTTCCATTTTTATGGGCATCTTCACACCTCTGCCATGGAAGAAGCTCGTAAATTTTTTCTATTATATCTATTTGTGTTACACATGATAACTATTGGAGAGTTATGATAGTGGTCTTAGAGGTTACATTGGCCACTATGATTTGCATTTTTACTGTTGAGAAGGCAATGAAAATATATTTAGACATTATATATCTGTTCTTTATGTGCAAAACCAAGTCCAGATAATTTTTCTTTTCTGTTGCTGTAAAAAAGATACAGTGCACCAAAAAAAAGAAAGAAAAAATGGACCACCCTGAATAACTTTTGATCTAATGATCGGATCCTTACGATCTATGACTTGATCTTAATTGTTCAAGGAGCTAACGTCAAATATGCAAATTAATTAGCCAGATGTTATTTTAATTTATAAAATCAGACACAAAAACGTACTTTCTCAGAATGAACATACCTTTTTTTCGACGGATTTCTAACCCTTAAAATATAGGGAGTTGTCTTTGTTTGAGAAATGTAATCCCCATAGTTTGATCTGGAGAGCGATCCACAATTAGGAACCCTTAATGTTAATTGTCGTCCAATGACAATTTTATGCGAAAAAATAAATGTTAGCACATATTTATTATTTTTTAGTATTTAATTTAACAGCAGTCGAAAAAATTTCGAATAGTAAAGGTACACAATTTTTTGCATCATTTTAAAGTATGTAAATTTACATAGCAAAATTCAAAGTTTGAGCGAAATCGGTTGAATAGTTCCTGAGAAATCAAATTTTAACCATACTACTTTTTTAAAATTTGATTTCTCGGGTTAAAAAAAAAAGTAAAGTAAGTTTCAAAAAGAAAAAGTTAACATTAAGGAGTCCAAACTTTGGACAGCTCTTCCGATTAAACTATTGGGACCCTATATTGGGGGTCAGGAAAGAAAAAAGGTATATTTATTCAGAGAAAGTATGTTTTTGAATCTGATTTCATAACTTAAAATAGCGTCTGCACTAATTAATTAGCATATTTGAGGTAACCCTCTAGAATCTTTAAGACTGAGTCTTAGAACGTGATCATTAGATCAAAAGTTATTCAGGGTTTGGCGCACTGTACATCAAAAAGCACAATTTATTAAAAGAAAAAATTATTAGTCCCCTTTCAAGTTAAAGGCCAAAC